TAACATCTCAGTGAATCTGATCTTACGTTTGACCTTGAGTACAGGTAACATCTCAGTGAATCTGATCTTACATTTGACCTTGAGTACAGGTAACATCTCAGTGAATCTGATCTTACATTTGACCTTGAGTACAGGTAACATCTCAGTGAATCTGATCTTACATTTGACCTTGAGTACAGGTAACATCTCAGTGAATCTGATCTTACATTTGACCTTGAGTACAGGTAACATCTCAGTGAATCTGATCTTACATTTGACCTTGAGTACAGGTAACATCTCAGTGAATCTGATCTTACATTTGACCTTGAGTGCAGGTAACATCTCAGTGAATCTGATCTTACATTTGACCTTGAGTACAGGTAACATCTCAGTGAATCTGATCTTACATTTGACCTTGAGTGCAGGTAACATCTCAGTGAATCTGATCTTACATTTGACCTTGAGTACAGGTAACATCTCAGTGAATCTGATCTTACATTTCCTTACTTTCAATCCTGCAAAATCATCTATCACATCAAATCAATAATTTTACCTATATAGGCCTATTTGTACTGTGTAATCATATACGAGGCTATATAGTAACGAAAGATTCTTCTCTTATGTTGCTGTAGCACTATTTTGGGCATTAGTGTGACCTTTAGAGGCTCTATGGTGTCACCCCCTAAATGGTGTCACCCGGGGCGCCCCGCCCCCCTCCCTTACGACGCCACTATACTACAGCATTATTTGCTACATTCCTCCATTTTTAGGTGCCTTAGGTTGATTATTATAATCAAAAAGAAGCGCTAAGCCACAAGGACTATACAGCGCTGCCTTAGGTTGAAATCCCCCATAAGCAAGATGGTTGGGACAGGAGCTGGAGCTAAGTATTTAAAGAATTATTCACTGGTTGGTTGGTTGATGGGGTTTAAAGCCTTTTGACTACACAAGGGTCTTTTTTTTTTTTTTTTTTTTTTTTTTTTTTATTTAAAAAACACAATACACATCATACATTTGTGCTATATTTAGGTTACATAAACAAAGAAACATAATCCATTAAATAATAAAAACAAACAACTTCACATTCCTTATCCCAGCACTAAACTTATACATAAGAAAAACACGTTCAACTGTAAATGCTTAATTCCCCCTCCAAAGTGCCCAACCAGCACACACAACATACATGTAACTAAAAACAGCCCACACCTGAACATACAGGTGGGTTTATTATATCCATAAAATCCAGCCAGTATCTTATAACACAAAAGGTAATATTATCCTAAGAATGTCACACTTATTTACATATATGAAACTTTATATACAAAGACATTCTCATATAATCCAATTCGTTGCACACTCATTAGTATTGTATATTAAACTTTATACACAAAGACATAATACTAAACAGCTCAAAAATTACAATATAATAAAGGTGACAAAATAGCCATTTCCACACCTTACCACAGAGAAACTAAACACACTATTAAAATAACAAAGATACACACTCATGTTACATAGCCCATTATTATCAGTGTGTTAACAATGCTTTGAGTGTTCCTTCTTGTAGTTGTCTCACTGACAAAGATCATTTAACTTATTAAAACTATGTTCATCAATGACCTCTTGTCTTTCAACACATGGTTAAACTAAAACATTCACACACAAGAAAACTCTACAATTACACCACATCTAACATGTCATCCCTCCCATACAACTATCATGACAATCCTACCACATTTACATATCCTTCATTATGGTCATAACTCGCTCTAGAAAAGGAAAATGGTCCCTTAGTACTTAAGTAGCCAAATTACTGAGTCCCCTTACCGTTATATTTCTATATGCCTCCGGGAACGCAGTTGCCCACCTGTTACCATAAATGATTTTTATTTCTGCATACCGTGCGATAAATTCCTGCCGCAATAGCCCTTACCCTAATCCCCCCGCCTTTTTCCTTCAAGCCCCAGGAATAAAACAAGAAATCTGTCACAATGTACAGAATGGCTCTCTTTACAACCTCAGACACCCCCCTTACCTCTAAAGTTAGGGCACGCAGGATCTCTACATTGCCCCCACCCATTAACTTGAAGACTCTAGCCAGCCACACCCGTACTTGCCCCAACTCCCTACAAAAATATACGGCATGAAAAGCTGTTTCCGATTCCTCACAATGTTCGCATTTCGCTTCCTTTACCAAACCCATCACACACAAAGCCTGCTTTGACGCAAAAAATCCCCATTACAAACCTATAAACTAACTCCCTTACCCTAGGCATTAATCTAAGTTTCTGGAAAACATGCCAAATCGTACCCCAATCATACAAAGGGTATACCGCCACCCCTTGCATCACTTCTGGTTTCCTACTCATCTCTACTAACCTTCCCACCTTGAGCTTGTTACCTCACCTATTACTAACATAACCCTTAGCATATTCTCACATTCCATCAAGTCCTTTCCTCCCCCCCAACGTCGTAACATCCCTCATTACCCTCCCAACCCTCACCCCTTTTACCCCCCCCCCTCCCTTACGTACTTTTGTTTAACATACATTCCCTTGACCCTCTGCCCTAGCATCAAAAGCCCTACTCCCCCTCGGCGCACATTCGTCATAACCACCTCTTTACTTAGCCATGCTCGTCCAAAACCCCATATATAACGAAGCACCCTTCTCTGTATCTCCTTTATCTCCTGTTCCCGTAAAGGATACACCACTGCCACGTTCCACACTTTACTATAAACCAATGAATTTATTATTATTGCCTTTGCATTAGAGTAACATCCTTCGCTCTTAGGTTCCTAATCCGTTGTACAACTTTCTCTCCCACCAATTCTGAATTCCTCCGTCTAGCCTCTTGCTCATCTGCCATATAGATAATCCCACAAATTTTCAGCTGTTCAGTCACATCCCATCCAAACTCCACCCCCATTCTACCCCCCACCCAATCTCCTATCTCTAATAATTTCGATTAGCCCTGTTGACACGCCATGCCTGACGCCTCTCCAAAAAACCTCATTACTCTCTCCACCTTTCGCAAACCTTCGACATCATTGATCAGTATTGTTGTGTCATCTACATAACCAACTACCTCTGTGATCCCGACCCCTCCTCCTGTAACGTTGTTGCTTCCTCAACCATTCCATAAAACGGGTGTTGCATACATGGGAAACAGAATTTTAGACATAGGACACCCTTGTCTCAAACCTTTCTCCATTTTCAACACGCTACCCAACCTACCATTAATTTGCACCTGAATCGTAGCTTCTGCATACAAGGTCTTCACCCATTTTACTATTCCCTCCCCAAAACCCATAAGCCTAAAGTGTCAACCATGTACTCTCTATTCACACCGTCATAAGCATTCTCCCAATCAATGCCCAAAATTCCACCTCCCTTACAACCCTGCAAAAATTCCCTAATAAAGACTATGTCCATCCCTCATACTACGACCCGGAATTCCAACTGACCCTTGTGCACCATACCACCTATTACCTTCTTCATCCTGTTCCCTAAAATCTTCGCAAAAATCTTATAATCCGTACACATTAAAGATATGGCCCTGTACGTGCTCAGTGTTCTCCCCTCGCTTTTTTCTTTACAAGCACGACCACACCCGTCCTCTGTGACGTTCCCAATTTCCCTTCCTTCAGCATACAATTCAATATCTGAACCAAACAAACATTTATGGTTTCCCAATGCACTCTGTAAAAATCATTGGAAAGCCCATCAATTCCCGGTGCTTTTCCCTTACTTAAATTGAACACTGCCTCTTTCACTTCTTCCATACTTATTATTCCCTCCAATCCCCCTCTGTCCTCCCCACCTTTCCCCAAGACCTTCACCCCTCCTCTTTCTTTATTAACTAACTATCTCCAAATTACCTTTTTCCCATTTCCTTTTAAACCAATAGTCCGCATAATTACTTATCCCCTCAGTTGTCACCAACATTTGCCCCTTAGTATAACCTTCCAAATCGTCACTAACCTCTAAAAGTATTATAGTGGACTCCTGTTGTCTAATGCGAAAACTTCTTAACACACTACCCGACGGTTTATCTCCCCATAGCACGGCATCCATACCTGCCCTTACCCTTAATTCATCAAATTAGGAGGAACTGGGGTGTCAGTGTTGAGAGCGCTGAGTCTTGATATAGGGGGGGTGGGGGAGAATGTGGCACGGGGAGTAGCTTATATCGTGGTGGATTTCGTGTACATATCGTGGGGAATGAGAGGGGTGGATAATGGGGAGACGAGGAAACGAGTTTTAGCGAGGATTTTTTGTAGGACAATGAATAGGAATCGGGGAATTTATGGGAGGAGATGGGAGGGGTTACAGGTCCATAACTGTTGGGGAGTTGCTAGAGTTGTGAGGGGGGGGGGAAGTGGGTTTAGATTGTTGTTGTAAAGCATTAGATAAAAAAAAAGGGGGGGGGGGGGTACCAAACGGGCTTGCCAAACGAAAGATGTTGGTTTGGTGTGCATGTGCGTGGGTGAGTGACAAGTGCAAGAGAATGATTGTGTGTAATTGGGGTGTGCATGGGAGTGCTGAGTTCATGCATTCTTAATAGTTATTTAATATTGTTAATTTTATGCCTTCTGCTGAGGCTATCGTAGTAGCGTATAAAAGTAGAAGTCTGAGAATGCTGCATGGGACAGCAATAAAGTAAGGATTTGCCCTCCCATTGTAAACTAAGTCAGTTTCTAATGTATATATATACATATGTATATATAAATAATATTAGGACCAGCAGCTGGCGTTTTCACTACTGTAGAGTTGTTATGTTTTCAATTTAATATGTTCTTAAGTTTAATTTAGTAGGGTTATTTTTATAAGTTACATAAACAACGGTAAAAATGCTGACATTTTTTGGTGAGCTGGGGTAAATGGGGGGGGGGGGGGGTTAATAACTGCTTGCATTTTTGGGCGTAATGTAAATTATTGTGTGTGGATTTGAAAATTAGCAGTTGGGAAGGAGTCAGAGGATTCTTTATTTTGTATTACTTTAATAGTTATATTTTGTAGTTATGAATTATGTATAGGCAGTATTCACCTACCAGCTGCATGACATATTACTGCATATTGCAGTGTATAGAAATTGATGAATTTTATATTGTCTGTCGATGCTCTCATATTGTATGCTTTTGTTAATGTATTGTATGTTATAAATAAAATATAAAAAAAAAAATTCATCAAATCTTTCATTATGCATGTCCCTTAGTCTCCCTCTTAGCCCTGATATTTCTTCAAAAGACTTCTCCTCATCTCTTGCGTAACACTCATTGAGCTGCTGTTCCAAATAATTCTGTAAACCGTACCTCCACCTCGCCTCCTCCCCTCCTTTATATTTATAAAACCCCGCGATACCAGGTTTAGAGCCCTATTTTCCCACCAATCCAAAATACTCCCCTACCCCATCCCTTGCCCCTCCACAATTGTCCCCACCAGTCTCTAAACTCCTGCGTTCACCACCTCACTCCCTCACCAACCTCGCATTTAACTTCCAGAAACTTGAATATAACCTTTACCACTCCCTCCCAATCCAGTTCTACCAAAACTGCCCTATGATCCGAAAACCCTACGTCCACTGTTTTTTAACCCCTCCTACCCTAACTGCCTCCGTTATATAAACCCTATCTAACCTCGCTGAAAAATTTTCCCTCCTAACAAAAGTGTAATCCACTCTCCAAGCCCCACTCCCCTCCACGTTCCCCCCCCTGCATCCTGTAAAACATTGCGGTAACGACCGTAATACACAACCCGCCCCCCTTGGCTCCACGTCCCCCCCCCTTATAAACATTCCAGCCCCCCCCAAATTTACAGTTACTGGGAAGGTAAACCCCTTAAAAAAAAACACTAAAACGTCTCTCACAAAATCCCCCTTTTACTTGATTATTCTCGCTGGCATAAAAAACCCCAATGAAACATACTCTAGATGCTCCCCACTCACCCCACCCTCACTACCCTCCCCCCCCCTTCTTCCTCCCACTTTATAATACGTAAGGGACTTTTTTTCCTTCACATCCAACTGCCACTCCCCCTTTTAACCTAACAGACCCACTTACATACAATTTATAACCCTTTAATTGCCAAGCACAGCCTATCTTATAATTATGTTCTTGTATAAAGCATACATCCACATTATATCTCCTCAAAAACCATTCCATCCATACCGTTTCACTTCATTCTTCAATCCATTTACATTTACAGTTACTAAACGTGAATTTTTTTAAAAGTGGTGGTTTACCCTTTCTTCTTAGCACACACCCCTCCTATACCGTCCGTGTAGGCATCTTTCTTGACAGCTTGCTTATTTAAACCCCCCCCCTATCCCTTCATTATCCTAGAACCATTTAAACCCTACATTACCCCTTCCCTCTTTCCCCTTATGACAAACATCCTTTCTCCAAGATTTTACTCCTGTTCTTTGTCCTGGAGTAAGAAAAATCGTCCATCTCAGACGTTCCTGCAGTTCTCTTACAGAAACTCCCCTCCCCACACACCTCGTCACCTGTCTTTTCTGCCCTATGGACCTCTGCCACAAAGTTTGCACATTAAAAATTATGCAAAACAGTATTCCCAACCTCCTGATCTTGCTGCACAGTTGCCTGCACCAGGTTACACCCTTCATCCACCTGTCCCTCTTCAACGTCATGCAAAAAGGAAAATAAGTACTTCCTCCCCAAACAAGCCATCCTGTTGGCCCGTACCCTCCTCATCAGACTCGAGTCGTCTGTCCCTTATCAACTGATAGTGTTACACTTTCTTCCATAGTCGCCTCAGCCCTGTCCACTTCGTCACTCCATCGGCAAGGAATCTTGTTTGGCCTTACTCCTTCCTCCGACACCTCCAGAGCATTCCTCTGGGTGTAAGATCACTGGTTCCTGTTCCCTCCGTCCAGCTTTTTTATAGCATTGGGCCGCCATATGTTCAAAAGAACCACATAATCTGCAAGTCTTCCGCTGCCCTGAGTAGTAAAACTAGACCTGCGTTCGGAAGACCTCCATAAATGCGTATGATGGAATTGACTGCCTCAACGTCATTTTCAGCGTAAATGATCCTTCAGGTACCCCTCATAAGGTCCATTTTGCCACACCCCCATCACTGCTGAGTGGATTTTCCCATAGCTGCTAAACACCGCCGTCACATCATGCTCCGTCGCCTCAAAAGGCACGTTTTTGTACTTTCACCCACGTCACATAGCTGGACACATCATGTAAGCAGACTTCCACCATAGTGTTCACTGCCAGCCTCTTCTTTGATATTTGTTGACTATGCTTGTATAGAATCCTGCGTCTTTAAACTGATGAAAATTCTCGACACACCATTGACTGCTACTCCATATAATTCTTCGGTCGGTATTTTCCATATACCTCACTGATGATGGCATGCAGTAACACGTGCATGGTTGTTCCTGTAAGCGTGCCACGCACCAATTCCACGCAAACAGTGCTCACCCGGCGTCCAATGCGATCCGCCATGTTGTATGCACAAAACAGGAAAACTGCGCAGTAAACCCGTTGTATCAGGAGCCACTGCGCAGCCTGTCCGCACGGCACAATAGCGATGCGAACAATACAAGGGTCATTGAGGCTGCAATGTCACCTGTACACCACTTGTCAAAAACACTCTAACCTCCTAAACTCTAAGTGTATATACACTGAGAGACATACACCTCTGTGTATATAGCCTTGAATTATCTACTACGACAATTATTGACATTTATCTTATTGTTCTTAGCACGTTAAGCATGAACTAGCTATTTAAGAACCGATGACAAGTACAGGCAGTTGTGATGGCGTGTCAAGGGTGGTAGGCATAACTAGACTTATTTCTGGTGTAGTGTCAGTCAAGTGGCCCATCTGGAGCTTCCCCCGTTGAGGAGGATTTTGGGCCCGGTTTTTGAGTTTTAATGGGGTGGTATTTGGGGTTTTGGTGTCCCAAAGGGGGGGCTTCAGCCCCCCCATTAATTTCCTCCAGGCCCCAAAAGCCTCTCGGGTGATGAAATCATTATTATTAAACTTTCTTGCTTTATTAGATGTTCATTAGAACTTTAACGGAGAACACTGTCGAATCTCTACTTTTTGTTTGGTAAAAAAAAGCTCGCCCCAACTTTTAAGAATTTTAGGGGGCCACTTTCGCTCTTCAGGAGAGCAAATTTTGCCACAGGAGAACATTATTTGGGCATGTGTTTTTTTACTTAACAATTGTTGATAATTCTAGAAAACATTACTTTTTATTCTCACGTGCAACGCCAACTGCCAAATTTTACTCATTCCCGGGTATTGCATAAAAAGTATCAAATTTCTCAGGACCTAACTGTCCAAACCTTACTCGGGGGCTATTCGCATGATTACTCACTTTTCTCGTTGGGGCCCCTCTCTAAAACCCCCAAGTCCCATGTCTCGTTGTAAATTAATAGTCTTAGTCACTAAAACTTTCGCAACATAACTCCAAAACCCCCGATTACATTGGTTTTTCCACTTATTTTTGATAATGCTACCCCTTTCACATAGGGGGGTGCTTAGCAATCAGGCACGAAGTAGCCTCTCACAAAAATTTTAAGATTAAATGGTTATAATTATACTTTTTTTGTAAGGGGTGGGGGGAAAAGCCGTAAAGGGCCTCGGTCAGATGACCAAAAAAGCTCCAGCTTTTTACCTAAGTTTCCTGGTGTTCCGGGGGTCAACGCCCCCGGGCCGGTCTGTGACCAGGCCGCCTGGGGGATCAGTTGATAACCCAGGCTGTTAGCGGCTGCACGCAAACCAACGTACGACCCACCCCGGCTGGTCAGAAACCGACTTTAGGTGCTTGTCCAGTGCCACTTGAAGACTGCCAGGGGTCTGTTGGTAACCCCCCCTTAGATGTGGAGGCAGTTGAACGTCTGGGGCCCCCCTGACCTTATTGTAGGTCTTTAAAACGGCTAGTGACCCCCCCTGCTTTCATTGGGGGGATGGTCATCGTCTGCCAATCTTTTGCTTTCGTAGCGAGTGTTTTTCGTGTGAAAGTTCGGTACTAGTCCCTCTAGGATTTTCCGGGTGTATGAATCAGTACTCTCCCCCCCTGCTGGGGCCTCACGTCGGGAAACACTTGTGTTTTCTGACAATCTTGCCTAACCTAGCAAAAGCGCTTTTTGATATCAAATTTAGATACCAACAATTTCCCGGGAAGCCTATAAACCCGGGAAGGGTAAAAATTGTACATAATCAGGAGCGTAAACTCGTAGGGATTATACAGCGTCTGTTGGGGGGTTTGAGGATGGAAGGTATTCAGGAACGGGAGTCAGCCCAAATTCCCCCTAATGGGCCCCCTCAACAGTCAAGGAACTCCCTTGGGGGGTCATTTGCACATGGGGGTAACAAAAAAAAAAATAGTTTTATACAGTCTCATTAATGTCGATCGTGATCAAATAAACGAAGTCACTGTCTGGCCACCATTTTTGGCCCTCACCCAAATTTCCCCCTTTGAAAATTTTAAAAGGCCTTCCATTCCCCCCGGGCGCTTACTACCCATTCGGGATTAGCGTTCCCCCTCCCCTCAAGGGAAATTTTAAATGTTCTGGCTCCCTTTCAGTCCCCCTTGACTCAGTGCGGGCTTTGCTGTGAAAAATTTGTCAGTTTTTGGGCAAACTTTTTATGTGGGGGAAGGGGGCTGGCATTGTTTCCATGAAGTGTGAGGGCTCTTGTCATTAATTTACGTAAGCCACTTGATTTCCCTGAATTTCCCTGGAGAGAGTAGGGGGGGTAACCCCCCTGCACCCCCGGGTCCGTGACCGGCCTCAGGGTGGATCGGGGGCTTGTAACCGAACCCCGTCAGTAAGAAACTCGTAATCTGCACATTACTTTTTGAGCGATTAACCCATAGGGTCATTCAGCGCAAGAGGGGGGTTGGAGATTTGATCCTCCGTCTGCTGAAGGAGAGAGACTTTTTATTTGTACCTCTTCTTGCTTTTCCCGTAAAAAAATTAAAACCCAGATTCTCGAACCCCTCGTGTTTTTATGCTGAAGGGTTTACAATAATGAAACCTCGTGATAATTTGTTTTTGGGGGAAAGTCTTTGGAGATGGGATTTAACTATCTATCAGATTTGCAACCCAAACAACCCTTTTCCCCCTATAAAAAATAGGGGGTCATGAATACAGAGAACACAATTGCGGGGCCCAAAATGTTCAACTGTTCCCAGCATACATAATAGACCCCCCCCCTTCGAGGCACTGATGGACATCTAAAGTTGGTACCGACCAGCCGGGGGGTGGTTCTTGTCTGTAAGAGTCGGCCAGCAGTAACACTGGTTGATCAGGCCCTAATCCACCACGAGGGGGATTAGGGCCATGGGCGTTGAAACCCCCCCCCCCCCAAAACCCCCGGGAAAAGCGTAGTATAGATTTTTGGGTTTGTCAGGAAAAAGGGGTTTTCCCGACGCAGGTCCTAGTCATAGGATAATCCATTGCTGGGGCTTTTGGCATCTGACTGAAGCCTTCCATGGCTTGAGAGGAAAAAAAAACTGGGGCATACTGTCAAATGACTTGAATTTGCTAGTGCTGCACATACCTTCCCTGATGCTTTAGTAAGTTTGTCACGGTACACACAGGGGAAAAAGAAATTACCTAGACAACCCCAAAAAAAATAGGGACTTGTTTCCATAGTCTGTGCAAGTTGGTGGAAACAGCGGACTTTGCCCAAATTTAAATTTTGCAGCATGGATAATTTTTTCCCACCCGCAATACATACTTACCTTGTAGATGAAGTGTAAGTGTTTTTTTATTTTTACTATAAATTCAAAACCAAGATTTGAACTTGTAGGGATCGTTTTTTTTTTTTATCCATAATGGAAAAATCACATTTGATTTTTAGGCCCTTGAGCTTTCATTTGATAAATCCATTGTGCAACAAACCAGCGCTAACTTTTTTTTTGAGTGCAATGGAAGTTTACAAGGATAAATATATATTTAAGGGTTTTTATATAATGCTGATGCTTGTTTAAACCTGTTAGTTTAACTGTTATGCACCCCCCTACCATCCTTTTTGGGGAAAAGTCAAAAGATTAGAGGGACATAATGGTGTCCAGGGGGCAAGTTACTGGTAAAGGACATTAAACTTTGACTTCCATTGTAATTTATTTTTTTGACATCTGTGAGGGGAATATGTTTTGGCCACAAGGGGTGGTTTGTTTAGGGAAGAGGTATAAAGATAGGCTTTTCACTATTTTTACATAGGAACTTAATGTATGATGGTTTCAAAGGGAAAATCCCTTTTCCCTTTAATTTTGGGGTACCAACATAGTTGTCTATTGCTGCAAATTTTGTGTCAAAAACTGGAAGACTTGAAAATAAATCACTCTCCTGGCACTGTACCATTCAATGTTTACCCTTACTCCCATGGTTTTTTTGCATGGAAAACAACAAATTTAATTACCCAAGGGGCTCAAAAACCCAGCAAAAGGCAGCAATCAAATAAAAAATTCCCCTTTCCCGCCACATACTCCACCAAATTTTTGAAAATTGAATCTGCTCACCATTAAAAACATCCATACTTAGTGCCTACTACATAACAGAAAATACGCAAAGATAAACCCTCCACCGAACTTTTCCTCGCCAACCTAAACAGGGAAAATTCCACAACACAAGACAAAAATCTCTTTGATAACCTCGTGTCCATATCCACTTGTAAAAAAAAACTTTTGCACATAAAGGGGGCCCCAAAAATTGGGAATCATTTCCAGAAGATGCTAAAGTAACCAGGTCTAAAATCAGTTTCTCTTTTTAAAAACTACTTAATCACCCTAAGGGACTCCCACATCATTAATTTCAACAACACTTTTAAACCCTTGTATCCATTGTTGACTGGGAAATAATTTAATCATTTTCCCCAAAAAGAGTTTTTGAATATATGATATATCTTTTTTTCTTGTGGAAATTAGATTCACTTACAATTATAATTACTGTACAACTGATATAATTAATATTTTTGTGTACAACTAGACTTAATTCTTAGGTTACTAGTCTTAAGCCAAAAATTTTAAATTTGGCCCATAATCCCAGGCATAATAGGGTCTTTGCATTGCAACCCATTATTGTAAAAATAAAATCTCATGTGTAGTACATTGTGTATTTGCAAAGACATTAAATAAATAATAAATAGTATTAAACACGTTACTCCAGCCCCCATATCGTCCTGCATCAAATGGTGTAAACTTGTAGAGCGAACCTGACTAATCGACTGAAAGGTGCGCCAGCTCTAAATCTACTGCTGGTGGAGTAAACCTGTACAGGTTACAAACTGCTTCAAGAGTAGTCCTGAACTACCAGAAATTCTAATCTGGTTGTTTCGTAGGATATCATTAGGTTTTCCTAAATTGCACAATGTAGAAAAGGTTCATGATAAAGCCACCCTAATAGACATCCATAGGAATCGGTATTGGTAGTGTCCAACAGAGACCGGGATTCCATAATTACCGAGGGATGTCCTTGAGTAAGTTCCTTTGATGCCGGTGAGAAAGGGGAGGCTTAGCCAGTAGGAAGTTCCTCGACCCTGCGGCATCAGGGAACCACCAAGTGGTTCCCTGATGCTGCAGGGGTTGCAAGGAGGAGGGTTTAGCTCCTCAGGAAGATTTCCTTTATGCTGGAAGGGTTCCTTAATACCCCACAAAAGGTTCCTCAGGGTGGTTCCTTAATGCTGCTGGGGTTTTGCCCTTGGGGAGTTTTGTTGCTGCAAGGGGGTTAGTTCCTAGAGACTCCTGATGCTGTAGGGGGGTTAACCCATCAAGGAGGTTCCTCAGTGCTTTAGGTTCTTTTTTTGGGGAGGTTCCTTGATACCTAGGGGATCTTCCCGGGGGATGCCTTGATCAAATTAATTTTCCTTATTTTTCCCCCATGACATGGCTCAACTAATGTTTTCCCCATTCCCCAGGGTATGATTCCCAGGGGTTTTGGGGGGTTTTGGAAATATAATCTCTTGCGTTTGGGGAGTTGGAAGGTGCTTGTTGGTGAAAAGGCTTTAATCCAGGACTCCCGTTCCGGATCAAAATTTAACTCTCCCCATTCCCCTTTGCTGCAGTCCAGTCCCTGGACACATTATTACCCCTAACTTTTTATAAGTCCACAGGATGGTTAGGGTGCATAATAAAGATTTAAACGAACTCCTTTACCACAGGTGTTTGACCCTAGGCATTGAAACTTTAACCCCTCCCCCCTTTTGCTAAATAATTTCTAGTCTTTGTGTACCCCCCTTCCCCAGTCTTTACGCCATGCATTCAAAACGGCCTCCTTGCCCCACCCTCTTAAAATGTACCCAATTATTGTCTTGCACTCGGGGATTTAAATTTTTTCTTTATTTAATATTTTTTTCACCCTTGCCCATCCTGTGGGCAGTGGTAAATTTTTAAATTGTGTAATGGAGTAAAATTTTTTTAGGATAACAAAAGTTTTAGATTTTCAAACACAGCAGTTATTTATTTTTATTTGGACAGTGTAGGAAACTTATAAAAAAAAAAAGTTAGTGACTTCCATTTAGGCCATTTTAAAAATCCCTCCCACTAGTCCCTGGTGTCATTAACCTGAAATTATGGGTTCTAGTTAATAAGCTTATGTACCCCTAACTTGCTATTAAGATGTCTGTTCTTTTCATACTTTGTTCCCTTTTTTGTACAGCAGTGGCAAGATGGGCAGGTTTAAAAGGCTGGGAAGGCATAGCCCACCTTTCTGGGGCTTTTTTTGCGTATACAGTCTCACTGACTGAGACATCAATCACTGATGCAGACTGGCACATGCCATGCCCTGAGTTACCCTCCATACAAGCCCTGGTGAGTTAATGTTCATTATGAGGGGCTTGAATAAAAATGGGGTCCCTTTAGTGAATGCATGGATATTTATAGCTTGGAGAGAGAGGAAAAAAAAAAAAAAAAAAAATTTTATGCTAGACCCAGGACATTTTTATTAAACTTGTTGCCTTAGTTTATTTGGGTTTTCAGGTACAGTCACATAAATTTCATAATGTGTGTACCCCTCAAGGGAGGTTCCATGCTGTGGTGAGAGGCTCTTGATCTGGGGAAATTTGGGGATCTGTGCTCCAGTTCCCTAAATTTAAGCCTGAAACCTTTCCCCCCCACATGCACTGTATAATCCATGGGTTTAGCGCTCTCCCATAAAAAGTAACGTGTAGATTACATAGGATAACTCAAGTCAGTGACTCTTCTCACTATAGTCCTTGTAAAATCTTTTTCTACAAACTTAAAAGTTAAAAAGGCAAAGTAACTGTAATTCTAAATTTCTAACTTTCCCACCATAGATGGATGCTGTATCTGATCTGAATTTAATACTCTAGCTGATCTTGATGACTTCATGAAAACCCTTGAAGATCTAGCAGACTTGTACTTTGAAAAAGCCCTTTTCGCAAAAACTCGCAAGTTCAAGAGAGGTATGGAGCAGCATGTGAATTTTTTATTTCCAGGGAAAGGTTAATAAGCTGTCCAACTTGTGCAGCATTTTTAAGATTTTACCTTTTATTATTCCAGTACATTGCTAAAATTTTAGTTACCTAAAACTGAGTTAAGACTTTGATTAAAAAGTGGTATACTAGAGAAATTTCAGAATTTCAGAGCACCCTTCAAAGTTTATTTACTCTGGCAAGTCTTTATTTTATGGACTAAACCTACCCTCCCTTTCAAATAAACTAATTTAATGGGGAAACCAAACCTTTTCACCTTCCGTTTTTACTTCATGGTACGTAATTGTGCCAGTACGTAACTCCATGGCCACAGTGCATTTTCTCTGCCCTCCACCCACCCCCTCCAGCTTTCCTTCCCCAATACTAGATAAAATTTGGGATTTTTAACCCGGGGGATGGCCAGCCAAGATAACCCAAGAAAGTCATTGCATTTTAAAAAAGGAAGGTCACTTAAATTTACTAACCACTCTCCCCCCCCCCCCATCCTTGTATTCCATCCTTACTTGTCCTTGTTCCTCCCCCACCTTGCCAAACATCTGGTCATAAATTGCCAGTCAGTGTCATTGAGGACTTTCTTATACTATTGGTGCTTAATGTTCAAACTACCTTGTCATTTGTGGATGGAAATACACCTAACTTTGCAAGCTTCACTATCATAACTGAGAATTTTTTGCCTAAAACCATCACAAAATTTGTTTGACAGGGTTATATTTTTAGTTCAGGGAGACCCCCATGTGCTGGTGACTGGCTTGTGTTGAAAGGAAGTGTAAGCTGTCCTCTCAAGGCTTTTAATTGATGCTGGTTATTGTAGCTTGGTATAACATTTGTGCGAGTGTTTCAATATGTATTTTTGTGTGGTTTATTAGCTACATTGGCATAAGCACTGGGTAACCTACATGGTCAAAGTGCTCTGTAAATTCTACAAATGGCCAGGCTGTGGTTCATGTTGTATTGCTAGCAGTAACAGCCTGATTGATCAGGCCTTGAGCCACAGTGAGGCATGGTCACGAACCAGACTGGGGGCATTGGCCCCCCCCCCAAACACACTCAAGGTAATTCAGCTACATAAATATTAATATTGATCGCTAATACAGATTCATTTTTCAGACCTCTACACTTCAATGGAGGTTACCAATGCTCTGTTATATTCCTTCAACTTCTACGACCCCAATGAATTTAATGCTTCATCCCTGGAGGGTGTTAGTGGACATCACTTCCTAAAAGCTCATGAACAATATTTCTGGGTTTTGAGTAATAAATGGTAAGTAGTTTTTTATGGTCTCTGATGGAGTTGGGGGAAACTGTACTATTTCCCTATGAAACTTGCAGAATATTTTCTAAGCAATGTCTTTTTGAGGTAATGCAACTTATGTCTAACTGGTGTTAACTCAGTGCTGGTAATTTATATCTTCATATCTTGACTGTAAATGCCTATTGATAATGGTGATAGGAGCCTAGATTCCTATTTGCATAGGATTTGTATTAGTGTTTTTTTTTCATATGGGTTGCCAGCAAGGCAAGGCATTTTGGGAAAATCTGAATGACTATAAATGAGTAGGAAGTCATCCAGCCATAACTTTGCCTCTAAAGAATTTTCATATATTGTTCAAACTGATTGAACTTGCTCTCTCATCAAAGGAATTAATTTTGGGTCATGGCAGATGCTAAAGAATTTCATAGGTTAAACGGCACATTACACCTGGGATAAAATTTAATGTTGAAATTTTCTCGACAGGGATGGATGGCAGTCTATCTTGGAGCTGACCCAGCCAGACTACAAACTAAAGAGCTTTGCAAGATTCCAGCTTGGTCACAGCTATGACAACATTGATAAAATTGTAGTAAGTTTTATTCTTTGATGTTCGTAGAAGGTTGTTACGAGCCTTTTCCATCCTATGGAGAGGGAGCATGGACACGGGGGTCGTCCCACAGTTACTAAAAACAACACATAGCCCCACTCCACAAAGGGGGCAGTAAAGCAACAGCAAAGAACTACAGACCAATAGCACTAACATCCCATATCATAAATCTTTGGAAGGGTCCTAAGAAGCAAGATCACCACCCATCTAGAAACCCATCAGTTACACAACCCAGGGCAACATGGGTTTAGAACAGGTCGCTCCTGTCTGTCTCAACTATTGGATCACTACGACAAGGTCCTAAATGCACTAGAAGACAAAAAGAATGCAGATGTAATATATAAAAAGACTTTGCAAAAGCTTCGACAAGTGTGACCACGGCGTAATAGCGCACAAAATGCGTGCTAAAGGAATAACAGGAAAAGTCGGTCGATGGATCTATAATTTCCTCACTAACAGAACAGAGTAGTCAACAGAGTAAAGTCCGAGGCAGCTACGGTGAAAAGCTCTGTTCCACAAGGCACAGTACTCACTCCCATCTTGTTCCTCATCCTCATATCCGACATAGACAAGGATGTCAGCCACAGCACCGTGTCTTCCTTTGCAGATGACAAACCCCAATCTGCACGAGTGTCTTCCATTGCAGACACTGCAAGGCTCCAGGCGGGCATCAACCAAATCTTTCAATGGGCTGCAGAAAACAATATGAAGTTCAACGATGAGAAATTTCAATTACTCAGATATGGTAAACATGAGGAAATTAAATCTTCATCAGAGTACAAACAAATTTCCCTGGCCACAAAATAGAGCGAAAAACCAACGTCAAAGACCTGGGAGTGATCATGTCGGAGGATCTCACCTTCAAGGACCATAACATTGTATCAATCTCATCTCTAGAAAAATGACGGATGGATAATGAGAACCTTCAAAACTAGGGAGCCCAAACCATGATGACACTCTTCAGGTCACTTGTTCTATCTAGGCTGGAATATTGCTGCACACTACGCACCTTTCAAGGCAGGGAAATTGCCGACCAGAAAATGTACAGAGAACTTTCACGGCGCGCATAACGGAGATAAAACACCTCAATTACTGGGAGCGCTTGAGGTTCCTAAACCTGTATTCCCCCGGAACGCAGGAGGGAGAGATACATGATTATACACACCTGGAAAAATCCTAGAGGGACTAGTACCGAACTTGCCCCAGAAAATCACTCCCCTATGAAAGCAAAAGACTTGGCAGACGATGCACCATCCCCCCAATGAAAAGCAGGGGGGTCACTAGCACGTTAAGAGACCATACAATAAGTGTCAGGGGCTCGAGACTGTTCAACTGCCTCCCAGCACACATAAGGGGGATTACCAACAGACCCCTGGCAGTCTTCAAGCTGGCACTGGACAAGCACCTAAAGTCAGTTCCTGATCAGCCGGGCTGTGGCTCGTATGTTGGTTTGCGTGCAGCCAGCAGCAACAGCCTGGTTGATCAGGCTCTGATCCACCAGGAGGCCTGGTCACAGACCGGGCCGCGGGGGCGTTGACCCCCGGAACTCTCTCCAGGTCTCCAGTCTAGGACAGTGCCTAAGAACTTGCAAACTAATTTGAGGTTTTTCAGAAAAGTGCTTTAGCCTATCTCCTTATAGATGTGGTTCTGTATGACAAATTTGGTAGTTTTGAATGTGTGCGATCTATATAAACTTTGTGCTAGCATTTGCTTAAGGGTGGCACCAAGGAGAGGGGGGGGGGAAGGAAAGCCTGAATGGCTTCAACCCCAGATAAAAAATAGTAATAACATTGCTTAAACAAAATTAGCTCCTCCTTCCAACCAGATAGCCACCCCTTTAGGTGCCCTTTTCATTTTTTATCCTACTGCTTATTTTATGGCAACTCTGAGAATCTTGTGATGCAGAGTGGTCTTTCTAAAACCGATTCAAAAGTAATTATATAGGAATGTTTAAAATAACTTATGGGTGCAGGTTTTTCGTTCCTCTAATATAGTAAATATATGTATACTTAACTACAAGGAAGACGAATAGTAAGGTTTCATTACTGATGACTAATTGATGAACTGTATATGGGGGGCTGACAGCTTGGTCCCTCCTTGGCTGTCATTCCCCCACCCCTCCGTCCCTGAAAAAGTTAGTCAGAGCCCCCTACCCTGTCCTTTTAAGCAGATTGGTAACTCCTAAACCCTTCCAGCAACTAATAATCCAGTGCGTTTAGAGCTTCTTTTTGATAATTCTACGCCCTTCCTATATAGACATTGTGGAGCTTTTCATTGACTAGGTCACTAGGTTTTAGTAAAATTGTTTTAATCCCCAACAAATTAATCATGGTAGATTAGAAATTAATACACTGGAGAATTTGGTGGGGAAAGAGGGCACTCAACTTTTCACTAAAACTAATAAAATATCAGGAGGTTAGTTAGTTTTACACTTGTGCAAATTCATACTTAAAATCTTAAGCATGGACTGACTACTAATTTCTCAATATTTTTGCTTTTAGGCTGCAGTACATCTAGATTTGTTATGGATGGCCTTTGGTTCTGCCTCAAGCAGTGTAGTTACTATAGTGTGCACTAGTTTGAAGACTGGACGCTGGCTTGTCACTCAGGAGATAACCATCCTGGGGATGCTGAGTGCAGTACATATGTTTGAGGCCAGTGGCAAAGTTTACCTGGTTATAGGTGAACGAGCCAGCGTTTCGCCTAATATTGAAGCCGGGTAAGAATAGGTTTTTGAATTTTCAAGGCTTTGAGGCATTCTCTAGAAATATTTACTTTTAAATTAGAATTCTGGCTTTAGCCAAAACTTGCAAATTCTTGTTAAACATTCTGCCCAAACTTAAATTTTTTAAGCTGTAAAGTCTAAAATTACAGTACAAATATTTTATTTATACAGACCTTAATAGGTTTGGTAACTTGTAAAACTTGGTTGCTAGGTATACTTTGTCCCTATCCTCGTATATATTTTTTTTTATTTTATTAACACATTGGCCATCTCCCACCAAGGTGGCTTGAAAAAGAAAAAATTAGTCCTTCACTCCATCACTCTTGCCAGAAGTGGACTTACACTAGTTATAAAACTGCTACAGTAGTGCCCCTCCTTCAGAGTATAGACTGTATATACAGTGGACCCTTGGTTATCGGCCATTCCAGATATCGGCCAATTCGGTTTTTGCCCGCTTTTTTGGCCGAAATTCTGTTATCAGCTGTATTGGACGCATCCATAGCCGCCGCATCCGAGTGAATCAGTCCTTGGCTGTGTCTTCTGGGTGAGGAGGACCGCCTCCATGCATTCATCCAAACATTTCACTATAATCCATTGTTTTTTGTGGTTATTGATTGAGGGCAACTGTGAAATAAGCAACCATGAGCCTAAAGAAAGTGCCTAGTAAAGTTGCTTGGTAAAAAGTGAGAAACATAATAGCATTCAAGGCAGGCAGGGAGTGGACAGTGGTGTGTACACGTGTGCATGCGTGTGCGTGCGCCCGCTCCCCAGGGGTGCAGTGCCTCTCAAGCTGGTCCTAGTGGCAGTAAAAGACAGGAGGTAACCCCTCCTTGTCTTCCATACACCAACTATTTTGCATACACAAAATGCACCCAAAAACGCATTTTTGGGTGTCTGGAATGGATTAATTATATTCCTGTTAATTCTTATGGGAAATATTTTGGTTTTTGGTTATTTAGGCAGACCTTCTGGAATGGATTACGGCCGATAACCGAGGATCCACTGCATATTTATGTATGTAATTCATCAAACTGGCCGTATCCCACTGAGGCAGGGTGGCCCAAAAGTTTCTTTTTACATTTAGTAATGTATACAGGAGGGGTTACTAACCTCGTTTCCAGCATGTTGGTTACCTCTTTTAAGACACGTGTGGTATTAGTGTTAATTGGATCTCCTGAACCTGGACTTTTAGCAAGCATGTTGGGTATAAGAGAGTGGAGACGGTGGTTTTTGATTTGATGTGCAGTTGGAGTGAGCAAAGTAACACTTATGAAGGGAATTAGGGAAGCTGGGGTGGGGGGGGATGGGAGGCCTGGCTGGCTGGCTGGCAAAGCTCTCGCTTCACATGCTGAGGGCCCGGGTTCGATTCCTGGCAGGGTGGAGAGGTTGGATGAGTTTCCCTATGCCTGTTGTCCTGTTCACCTAGCTGGTACATACGTGGGTGTTACTGGTGTGGGTTGGATCCTCGGGGCAAGATTGAAGACCCCAAAGGAAATGGCTCCCCAAAGATGCACTGACTTTTTTTGGGTTATCCTGGGTGGCTAACCCTCCGGGGTTAAAAATTCCAAACAAAATCATATCTTGATAAACCAGTTAGCCAGACTTGTCCTAGAGCTGGGAAGTACAGTGCCTGCACTATGAAGGAAGGAGTGGTGTTCATCTTGTAGTGTAGGCATGCCTCTACAAGACAGTGACTGAGTGAATGATGAAGTTTATTTCTTTGGATCACCCTGTCTGTGAGAAACTGCCAATGTGTTAGGGCCTGAAGAATAGGCACCCTTATTCACCCACAACTTTGAAAATGCACACTTAAAACTACACCATACTTGCAGTGGATACTAAGCTGCAATGTTTTGAAAGTAGTCCAGTATGGCACATTCTTTCCTGAGGAGAATTTAAACCTTCATGTGATGCATTATTTTGCATTAGGTAGATTTAACCTAGTGCCTTTTTTTTTCCACTAGTATTAAATGAAAGCTCTCTTCAGGTTGTATGTCTTGATAGACAACTACTTTGACCGTCGTGATGACATCAAGTTCAGGGTGCGGGGTGTCCAAGACATCACTGGTTTCAAACATGGTGAAACCTCTTATTACTTGGTGTTTGGCTTGGAGTCTCCTGTACGTAAAAATTCTATTCTTGAGTTTAAACTATTTTAGTGTAAATTAAGATTGAGGGGAATATTGGTAACATTTACTAGCTTTCACTGCTTGCATAAAATGAATGGGGTAATTTAATTGGTATGTGTTAGAAAAAATTAACTTTTTCAGACTGGAACTAGCCTTATAAATGTGAAGTTGACACTATACACTCATGTCGGTAAAATTCATTCTTGTTGCTCTAGGCCATACTTTTTATAATGTCAAGAACTAATAGCTTGTGCATTTCCTAGCTTATTTAGTTTTTATTATAGAAGGATGATTCTGATCAAACCCCTATTTATACCATCTCGTAGGGGGGCAGGGGGGCCACACATTAATCAAGTGCCTTAAATTCACAATCTTCTAAATTTGCATATAAATTTCAATAAGAATGTTACATGGTAAGATGCTTTTAAAGGGAAATGCCATGATGGTAAAAGATCCCAGATCAAAGAAAATGGGGGGCTGACTTCATATTCCTTGGATCAAATCTGATTGCTTTCAGTTTCCCGAATACTGCATGATCTCTAATATTCAGCTCTTCCCTATGAATATTCGGTAATATGGCAAGTCATATCCACTTGTATTAAAATGCTAAAGTAAATTTTTTTAATTTGGCTTGGTGACTACCAGCCTCCATAATTCTTTCTTATTTTGGCATAATAGTGGTTATACAAAGGAGTGACATTTGGATGTACATGCTGAAATCCCCTGTATATGCAGAGCATTTTGGGCAAACTTAAGATTAATAAGGAAATAACAACATACAGTGGAACCTCAAATATCTAACTTTCTTCGGTCCAGAAGTCTGCTCAAGTGCCTTTACCGAATGAATTTATTCCCATCAGGAATAATGTAAATTAGATTAGTCCATTTCAGACCTTAAAAATACTTATAAAATTACTTACAAAAATACACTTAAATAATTTGTTGTTGGGAGCAGTTCGATTTTTGAGGTTCCACTGTATAAATTTAAGTTGATAATGAATAAAAGAGAATAGAATATTTTATTTGTTGATGCTGTGTTGCTTTAACAAGTATACTATATTAAGACTAGATAAATGGTTGAGAACAGACAGGATGATGAATTAAGATGCTCGTGTAATGCTTTGGGAATAGTTATTGAAGGAACTTTTCCTACCGAGTAAGCCACTGGTTGGCAAAACACTCACAATGCAGTTTCCAGAAGGAAGATGCCAAAGTGTTGCACAAGTGTTGCACAAGTGTTGAATTCATCACTATATTATGTTAGTATAGACTAGCTTGACTAAATGAAATTATATTTCGTTCATTGATTTGCCAAGTTTATTTAGGCACTGATTCAAAAGTATAGCTATCATAGGATTAAACCCTCCAAAATTCAGCAACTTTAAAACTCCAAAATTTTAATTTAAATTCTAAGTACTTAACCAAGCTGTAAAATTAATTGAAATGAAATTTTCTCCAGGAGGCAGGATTTGAAGTGTATCAGCTGGACACAGAGATGGACTTTATAAGCTTGGTTCAAGCACTTCCTGACGGTGATGCCATGAAGGTTCATCACTTTATTGACAAACATGATGAAAAGAATTATATCCTGACCATCAGTGGCAGTTCTGTTCCTAAGATATATAGATGGTCAAGTGAGTCAGTTTAATTTACACTAGATAATCTTTATAATATTTGGCCAAAGCTTAATTCTTGGCTAAATTAGTTCTTAAACTTGCTATAATAAAAAATTTTCAGACTTCTGGCAATTCTGGGTTTTTACTGCAGTGGCTTGATTAGTGACTGGTCAGAAAAGTAGGTCTGTTTTAACATGTTTATACACAAATGGGTTACACTAGACTGCATGCAGAAAGCCCATGGTTATGCAGAGAATTTCAGACAAGCTTCAGCACCTATTTCCCTTTGGCAGCTTAGGTTGTAGGGATTTTTGTGTATTAAATATTTGGCTTAAGATGGAAATTATGGAAGAAATTCTCGGTGCTCCCACTAATTGTAGTGTTGGTGGTTTGATCCCTACTTTAGTGGTATTGACCTGCTGGTAACACTGACCACTAGTAAACTCTGGTGGCCACATCTAGTGTTTCTGCCAGTTCCTTACCTGCTACTACCCAAAAGCTGCTAGTTTCTGGTGCTCCATCTAGTTTTGCTAGGCCTTGTTCTTAATTTTAGACAAGCCATCCTGGAGCTGGTAAGACGCATGCAACAGTTAGGCATCTTTGTTCTGAAACATTACGCCTACACAGTAGGCGTCTTCAGTAGAGTACAGAAAAGTTGGCAGGAGCTGTAGAGAAGTGAAGATGGTGTAATCAGTCCATCACCTTTGAAGACTGTTTTGAAATGATCAGTCCCTCAGCCTGGAGAAATTGTTCCATAGTCTGGAACAAAAATGTTATCACTGTTAGCAACTTGCTGGCCTAATTGAACTGCAGAGGTAGTGATAGTTTCCCCTAAACTTTCACTTGTCCTGGCACTATTTTTGACATCTTGTAGTTTGAGTATTCAGGCCTTTGGGAATAGTTTTTCATTATGGTATGGGGGAAGGCAATTCTGTTTTGCATTTCAGTATCACAATGTACTGTGCTTGGATAACAAAGTTTGGAAGTAGGCTCTAGAGTGTCCTCGTGCAAAGACTTTTCTTAATGTAATACTGAAATTGTAATGTAAATTCTAACATAAATGACCTAGTGGCATGGGTAATTTTTAGTTAAATTAAAAATCCGATGCTAGTCTTAGCATGAGCTCTTTTTTGATTGATTTTGGATGGTACAGTATTTTCCAGAAGCAAAGGGGGCTAGTAACTCCCATATGAATTTTTGAACGTAAAATTAAGAAATTTCACCCTGCTTTGGTGGGAGAGGGCCAATGTTAAAGCAGGAACTGTTAAAGTAAAGAACGTTTGTCGTAGTAAACACTGCCTTATACAAGTTTCAACGTTGCAGATCGCCAGCTGAGGGAGTGGCAGAGAATGAAGTTCAAAGGCTTTGGTGCTTGCTGTTCAGTTGGTGTCCTGACATTTGATAACCTGGAAAATTTGATATTTATTGCCCAAGGGGTATGTTGATCCACATTGATTTTTTTTTTAAGTATTGGAGAAAACATTGCTTTATGCTCTTGATTATTATTGCTGGTGGGGGAGTACTAAACCTGTAGCAGGCATATCGCATTTGTGAGGAAATTGGGTTTGAAAGGAATGGAAAGTTTGGTAATTTCTTAGACCAGGAACCCTCACCAGCATCTAGGAAACAGTACAAGGGTATCACTGTGATGAAAATCAGAAGTTAGTCACTGCTAAATAATAACCTACGAAGATTTACTTACTACCCAGCCCTTCAAGGGATGTACCTTGAAACTAGTGATCTTAATTTCAACTGTTTTTAATAACTCATTCCTCCCACTCAAGTCATTTGACTAATTTGCTTGATCCAATATTAGTAATACTTTATCCTCTTTTAAATATAACATTTCTTTTTAATGTAACCTGCAAAATTCCTTGATAAAATAAAAAAAAATTGTGCTCCCAGCATTCAGAATAGGTAAAAATGAATAAAAAGTAGGTAGTAGGTTGATAGACCAATTGCCCAGGGAGGTACTAGTGTCCTGCCAAGCGAGTATAAAACAGAAGCCTGTAATTGTTACATGATGGTAGGATTGCTGTTTTTTTTTTTTTTATATATATATATAAATTTATAATTAATAGAATTTGGAAGAATTTAATAATACATTGGACAAATAATAAATTTTAAAATTCTAAGTAAATGTAAAATGTAAGTAGTAAAATGTAAGTAGTCACGAAAGCACTTGGAATTTCTCTATTCTTTCACAGTGGTTGTTTTGCATATTCTGAAATCACCTGTTTACTGTGATCTTATTGCACAGGCATATGTATACACCCCCCCCCCCCCCTGAGTTTTCTATTTTCTTACTAGTTCTGGTTCATTTCCTCTCATCTCCACAGGGAATTGGAATAGAATTCTTCCTCCATAAGCCATGCCTGTCATAAGAGGTGGCTAAAATACTGGGAGCAAGGGGCTAGTAACCCCTTCTGTGAATTACTAAATTTAAAAGGAGAAACTTGAGTTTTTCGTTTTGGGCCACACTGCCTCGGTGGGATATAGTTAGTGCATTGAAAGTAGATGAATAAATGAGGACTTGTTCCTTGAATTTAGGAAAAGCTTAGTATTGTATAGCTGTGTAAACTAGGAGAGTTGAGGTCAAATATTGCAACTGAGCATTGTTTTTCAGTAATATGCATTGTATGTAAATCTTAACAGGGCAAGATTACCTTCTACACAGATGACATGACTGGTCATTACTTCCCAACATTTTTCACTGACACAAACTGCACTGCAATTAAAGACATGCAAGGAATGCAGCTGGAGAGTGACTATATAATATCTTACATCTGTGTTGGTATAGATAGAAGTTTTAAACTGCAATCCAGGATCCTCGCCTTCCAGCATGTGGACCTTGGTAAGATTCAGTAAATTCTAATTTTATTTACAATTAAGACTTCTAAATGTACATTCTGATGTAAATACTTTATTTCTTTTCTGAAGTATACAGATAGTATACTTTACATGTAATAAAATATTTTTAGGCCCAAAGAGCCGCTGGCATTCGGTGCATTTCAGGTAAACTAATCTTTATGCTTAGACTCCTAAAGTAATACAGATTGTTAGTTCTTTTGTGTACAAAAGAGGTAGCTAAATAAACAGTATAATTTTAAAAGTATGCAATACTTCAGACTGATTTTTTTTTCTTAATGGATAACTATTATATTTAAAATGAGGAAAAATGGTAACTGTACAAAGGGACAATTTTAAAGTTATGGTGCTCTAGGTGTATCAGATGTCCTGGCTATTAGACCTGTTCTGAATAGTTATTTTTTCTTAGCGGAATCTGAAACTACTACTGATGACCTCTTGCACTGTTTGGACGAAGCAGATGAACTCTTGGAAAGCAGACACACTGATGTCACTCTACTTGCTAACCTGACTGCTATCGGTTCTTTAATGACACTTGGTGGTGCACAGGTTGGTAAATTTTAACTTTCATGATTGTGCAGCTGTGCATGAATTCTTTAAAAATAAGTTTATGGTTTCCATTTCGGTTAAAAAAAAAAAGAAATTTATTTCTTGCCTATTTCAGACTTGGTCTGGCTTTGTGACCTTCAGCAAAGGACTCAATGTGATAGGCACTACAGTATTCCACGACAAAGTTAACATAAAGCCAACAGGCAATATTGTTCCCATTCGTGGAACTTTGGTACAACTATTGTCAAAAATAAAAAATTTGGAGGTAGGCCTCTGATTTTGTAATGTACTGTACTATTATTAGTATACAAACTATTTTAAATCTGAATGTGACAGTGGTGTACAATACTGACAAGTTCATAAGTAACATGTCTATAACAGTTAGGTATTGTCATTCCAAAACATTTTCCTGAACAGTAGGCTTCAGTAGACTGAAAGTCTGTGTAGGAATAACATTCTGAATAAAGATACTTAACTTGACCTTCACGTGGTGCCATTTGGCATCTTCATTGCCTTGCGACAGTTTTGTTTGTGCCTTGTGACACTGTTCATTGGTACCAATTTCTCGGTTAACTTCACTGGTTTTCACGGAGAGCAATTGGGTCATTTGAAGGAGTTAGCCTCTCGCATGTTGTAGCATTGACCACTGGCTAGGATGCAACCCACAGCAGTCTACTAACACCCAAGTACCTATTTACTGCTAGGTGAACAGTAGCAACAGGTGTAAGGAGATTTGCCGTATGTCTCGCCCTGCCCTGTTGCATGTTACTTATAAACTTGTTGGTACTGCATACCATTGTTAAATTCAGATTTAAAATAGTTCGTGCACTAACTATTGCAAATGTCTAGTTTTAAGTACATAGCCTCTCTTCACTTAATGACCAAGTTCAGTTCCTAAGGCCACATTGGTAAACAAATTCATTGCTAAGTGAGGAGCATACTATAATGGTAGTGGGTTTGTCTACCATATTTGATAGTTTTAATGGCACCTTTGTGCCATATAACACTTCTGGTATATTTTTAAATGTTTATACAGCAGTGTACTGTACAGTAAATTGTAATAAGCAGAATAGAAGAAATCTGCTCAAATTTACATTTAGGTATGCATACTGGTCAGAGCCAGTTGTCTGTAAAGAGTACATCACCGAGTGAAGAAAGTCTGTATTTGAAGTTTCTATTTTTTTTTTTTTCAACAGTCGTCAGTACAAGAAATGGCTACAGATACAGAGAAGGTTTTGTATCACTCTGGTGATCAGACTATTGTTGGCCCCATCACAGGTTCCACTCTAACCAGTGACACTATGACAATAGATATGCTACAGATTTGGAAGGTGAGGAACCTGGTATTGATATTAAAGCATCAAGTTTTTTTTAAATTGCTAATGAGCAACTATTGTTCCTTTAAAGAAAAGTAGTTTGTCAATGCCCTATAAATAGCACTAACTGGTTGCTAAAAATTAGCAAATAGACCTTTAAACTTTCCTTCTTTGCAGGTTAATGGTATCTCACTGACAGACTTTGATGAGGTGTTCTTGGTAAATGGCATCGACCAGACAATAGACTTCAGCTTTGTCATGTCTTCGTTAATGACAGACTCCTTTGTTACTCGCGGTGATGGTTATGCTGGCACTATTAATGGCATTCGTACAGATGGTGTGTAGCATTGTGCATAAAATTATATAATTTTCTTATGGCCCCCCTCATCTCTAAAAGATTAGTCTGTTGCTAAAAAAATTTTAGTTGCTAAGTTAGTGTAAAATAACTAATTTGCTTATTCTGAGTCATGGGTGACAAGCAAAATAAGTTTATTTCAACATGTTTATACAGAAATAGGTGATACTTGAGTGCATGTTGAAAGCCCATAGTTAGGTACAGCTTTTTGGGAAACCTTGACCAGACTTTATTTTTACTAAGCCTTGGTATTTAATAAAAAAAATTGTCAGTTATTCCATTAAGTCACCTGTACTTTGCAACTTGCAGAATACATGCGGTTGAGTATCGGTGAGCAGTTTGTGACTGGTGATCATAAGTACATTGCCATAACCTCTGGTGACATTACTCCTAGAGAAGGCAATAATTCAATGTACATAAATGGAATAGATGTCAAAACAATGGTTACCAAGGGAGCAACTGTAACTTTCAATGATCACAAGAGGTTTGATGATGTGGTGATTCGTGGACACCTGAATACCGATTTTATGAACGATGTGAGTATTCTTGTTGCCTTAGTGTAAATAAAACTAGTACTCCATACACTAGGAGATGCTTCGTCAGTGTGGGCGCTCTAACAACTGGGATACCTTCCCCTTTGAGTTTAGTTACCTGTCGGTCCTTCAATACTATGTAACCCTTCAAAGAAAAACTATTTCCGTAATACAAATACACACATCTTTATTTACTAAAAGTACATGTACGTGGTATACAGACCTTAGCTGACATAAGTGACTTACTACTATATAGAAAGCCGCTCGTTATGCATAGCATTTTGGGCAAATTTGGTCATTGTTCCAGGATGCGACCCACACCAGTCGACGAACTCCTAGGTACAGTACACGTTTTACTGATGGGTGAACATAGCCAATCGGTGTAAAGAAAGTCCCAGTATTTCTACCCACACTGGGAGTCGAACGCAGACCCTCGCCGTGTGAAGCGAGAGCTTTAGCCACCAGGCCACGTGATCTGGGGAGTAGTACATTATACAGCTAGGCCGATTCACACGAACTATAGAAAGCCCCTTTATTATGCAAAGCATTTCTGGCAGCCTTAAAACTATAAATTATGATAAAAAAATTTAAAAATACAGGAGGGCCCCACTTCACAGCACTTCACTAATACAAAGGGCTTTCAGTTGTACCCATTCTTCCTTTAGACTGTTTCCAATAAGCTAAGACAAAAATATTTTAAGGGAAGCAATGTGTGTACTGTCCATGTATCTTTTAGGCCTAGCTCTATTGCTCACTTAATGATAGTGTAAACATGTCAGATTTTTATATGCTCTTGAAAGTTGGGGGGGCTTTCACTTTATAGCAGTATCCCAGAACCTAACCTAACCTAACCTGTATAAGCAGGGCATGCCTCTTTGGTTTTTAAAATGGAGGTATTTAGCAACTCGATTATAATTAGTGATATATTAGGGATGAATGATAGAAAAGGACAGGACCAATACAGGTTGAAGGAATTATTCAGCATAATTGATCACTTAAGTTAAAAGGATAAACTTTTTGGGTCGCCCTGCCTTGTTGGGATATGGCTGGTGTTTAAGTCCCCCATCCCAGCTTTACTTGTTTATCACAGTTAATACCAATGCATAATTTTTTTTTCTTAACCATCTCCCACAGAGGCAGGATGACCCAAAAAGTTTTTAAATTTAGTAATTTATACTGGAGAAGGGATTACTAGCCCCTTGCTCCTGGCATTTTAGTCTGTTAAGACACTCGTGGCTTATGGAAGTGTGTTCTCCACTTCCCCATGGAGTGAGGCATGAATTACCTAACATTTTTTTCAGGTTAACTTGACCAGCCTAAGCAGCAGGGTAGTGTACACAGATGTTGAAATACAGCAGACACTTGCTGGGATGTATACTGTAGCATCCTTACAAGTGGATGGTAATGTTGATGCACTTACAATCAATGGTGTCAATTTGAGAGAACTAGATGCTAAAGTTGTTAAAACTACTGGCAACTTTACTTTGCAAGGTTAGTTGACTACAGAAAAATATTAAGGTAAGGTGGATGCATCCTCTGAAGTTTATCAAAAGAATTAAGGTTTCACTTTAAATTACTTAATTTTCCATGGTACAGTAGCATTACAAAATTTTTAAATGGAGCAGATCATAATTACAGAGTATTAAAATTTAAAGTATGATTTCATATCTGTGTAACCTTTAAAAGATTTGAAACTCCAATGAACAATTTACACTATGCACTGGGTTCACAGGTGTAAACTTTCCTGCATCTCCTGCACTGCAGGAAGTGTAAAAGTGGCATTAAGTGTTCAGAGGGTTTTCTTTTTGACATGCTAAAGAATAGTGTTAGCACATTGGGTATAAAAAATATTGGTAAATTTTTGAAGAATTTAGGTATCCCAAGAGGGAAGGGAGCCTTTAATGGTTACCTACACCACACTACACTGTTACCCTACATCACACTATAATCTTACTCGCTCCCTCTTTGCTCGTATGGTTTGATCCATACATTAAACGTGGAAATGCAATAAATTAGTTATGGCACACAAATTGGCTAGGCATTGCCTGAAGAGTTCCAGGGTCGACACCCCCGCGGCCCGGTCTGTGACCAGGCCTCATGGTGGATGAGGCATGTTGACATGTTTATAAAAAGTTCTAATGGCACCACTTCAGATTAATCCCCGACTGACAACCTCGTTGCATACTTACAGGTATACGTACTTGTACACATTAGCATTTGTTTTTCTAGTTTGCTGCACCACTGTGTGCATTGAGGAGAGGGAAGCTGAGCTTGATGTACTCGGATGTGCCAAATCTCATTTTGACTCGACAAATTTTTTCCCCCCAGGTCCTGTGATATACATGTCCAGCTTGACTGTGAATGGAGATCTTTGGGCCAGCAACGTAAATGGCATTATCTGGGATTACATTTTGGATCTCGATTCCCCTGACCTAATACCAGCAAATTACTACTTTACTAATGCAGCAGTAACAGATGCTATCAGGTGTAATAATATAAATGGACTGGACCTGAGTGAAGATGTGGTACTAGTGGACTCTGTACAGACTATTAGTGGTAAGTTTTTTAAATTAATCTTTAAAAGAGCTTAGTCTGGATGTTTGCTTTCAGTGTTTCTGGTCTTTAGTTTTGTACTAACACATTTCTTTTATGCTTTTGCAAAATGAAAACTTTATTGGAAAATGTAGCTAGGAGTAAGTGCAGGAGCATCGTATGCTGCAAGGCTACTGTTGGACTTTAATTCAAGTTTTAAGGTTTGTCTGAAACTGCCATTTTTATTTTTTTCTCCATTTTATAAACCTGTTTAGACTATATTCTTTAATCTGTGTTTTTTGTGGTTCACTGCCTTTTCATAATGGTAACCTTAAAGGGACTGTAATATTCTCAGCTTTTTCCACTTCCATTCACTGTTCCTCCAAATTGTTAGCCAATTTTTTTTTTAACCGGCTATCTCCCACAGAGGTAGGGTGATCAAAAAAAAAAAAAAAAAAAAAAAAAAAAAAACTAACCATCCTTCAGACTACCACTATCTTGCCACAGGTGTGTACATACAACAGTTTGGGATGTCTCTTCAAATGGCGAATTTCCTCCCCTCTAACTAGTTACTGTTAAATACTTATAATAAAAATACTGTAGCTGGAATACCTTATTAACCTGCAGTTTGAAGATGTAATGTTTCAGTGTACTAGTCTAAATGGCTACTAATAAACTTTAAGTGGTTTATTGCAATTTTATCTTTACTCGGGGTTTTTGTCACATTAGTGAAGTAAGAGTATAGATGCTGTACTATTGCCACACTAGTAAAGTGACAATGAATATAACTGGTGAATGAAAATGGGTTGCTAATTGAACAATAAAATGACCGAGTACCACCAGAAATATGCTAATCAGGAGACTATAATTGCAGGTGATGTGACTTTCCTGGCTGATGTGAAGGTTACCAGCTTGGACGGTGTAGTGATGGAAGAGGGAGGTACAGTAAATGGTATAGACCCTTCGTTGCTTCATACAGATGTTAGTACCCTTGTTAACGTAACTATTGATGAAGAGGTTCACATAAATGCTCCACTATTGGTAAGTATAACAGCAATTTTGTGTAAAATTGTCAATTCCCTTTTCCTAAATTGTTGCTGGTAGTGGATATGTTAGTAATTTTCTTTTGTACCTTGCCAGTACACTGTATTATTGGATGCCTTAAATTTAATGCAACTTTTACAAAGATGTAAAAAATTTAAATTGAATAACTTTTTTTTTTTTTCTTTTTGTGTGTTTAGCAGTTTCCCACCAAGGCAGGGTGACCCAAAAAGAAGAAATCTTTAATTATTCGACACTCGCCATTGCTCGTACATAATCACGTACAGAATTTAATTTTTCTAATTACAGAGGTCCCAGTATTTAGGTAGGTTGTGATGAATGGCTTTGAAAACCGACAAGTTGAAGAATTGAGACGCTTGTGCAACACATGGGAATCTTTATTGAAGAAACGTTTGGCCACAGTCGCTTCATCAGTCCAATACAAAGTAGAAATGGGTAAGGAGAGTAGAAGTTTGAGGTAATCAGTCCCTCAACCTGGAATCGATGTGTTCAGTCAATCACTCTTGTAGGAAGTGCAGCACAGGGCCAGAGAGGTGGCTTATATACTGCGGTGAGACGAGTTGAAGCAGGAGGCGGGATCACAGTGGGACCTGCCACTAGTGTAAGTAGGTCGTCGTCATAGGTTGGGCAAGCGTTTAAGTTTTTGTACCCATTTCTACTTTGTATTGGACTGATGAAGCCACTGTGGTGAAAAGTTTCTTCAATAAAGATTCCCATGTGTTGCACAAGTGTCTCAATTCTTCAACTTGTCGGTTTTCAAAACCATTCATCACATCTGTCAGACACTGCAACATCATGGGATCTTGGTACAAAAACTTCAACGCTTGCCCAACCTACGGACGACGACCTACTTACGCTAGTGGCAGGTCCCACTGTGATCCCGCCGCCTCCTGCTTCAACTCGTCTCGCCACAGTATATAAGCCACCTCTCTGGCCCTGTGCTGCACTTCCTACAAGTGATGGACTGAACACATCGATTCCAGGTTGAGGGACTGATTACCTCAAACTTCTACTCTCCTTACCCATTTTTACTTTGTATTGGACTGATGAAGCCAGTGTGGTGAAGGGAATCTTTATTGAAGAAACCTATGTGTTGCATAAGTGTCTCAATTCTTCAGGTAGTAGGTTGGTAGATGGCAACCACCCAGGGAGGTACTACCGTCCTGCCAAGAGTGTGAAACGGAAGCCTGTAATTTTTACACGATGGTAGGATTGCTGGTGTCTGGGTTTTTTTTTACACCTGCAAGATTTCAGGTACGTCTTGCTACTTCTTACACTTAAGTCACACTACACATGCATGTACAAGCATATATATACACACCCCTCTGGGTTTTCTTCTATTGTCTTTCTTGTTCTTGTTTATTTCCTCATACCTCCATTGGGAAGTGGAACAGAACTCTTCCTCCATAAGCCATACGTGTTGTAAGAGGCACCTAAAATGCTGGGAGCAAGAGGCTAGTAACCCTTCTCCTGTATATATTACTAAATGTACAAGAAACTTTAGTTTTCCCTTTTGGGCCACCCCGTCTGTGGGATACGGCCGGTGTGTTGAAAGAAAGAGGTCCCAGTGACTGGCTAGTGCCCAGAGAAAGGATAATTTTTTATCTCCTGCCAAGACAGGGTAACGAAGAATAAAACATTCACTCGGTTACTTTCAAAAGTGTGCAGACGCCCGTTAATTACCTTCAGACTGTGGTATCCCCACTCCAGACTAGTCTGGCTAACTGATTTACTTTAATCCCTTCATAAGTTACCCTGCTCACTCTCCAGCAGCGCATTCATTAAAACCCACTTCTCTGTACTTCTCTCCAACAATCTTGCCCAAGACTGCTGGATAATCAAGCCCCTAAAACTCTACCTTCATACCTCCTTTCAACCATTCCTGGAACAGTCCCTTCCCCCCCCCCCCCCCAACTTCTACCTTCCACCATAGATTTATACACCAGTCTTTTCCTTTCCGTCTTTTCTACAACCCCCCCCCCCTCTCCTCGCCAGCCCTCTGAATTATATGCTTGGTCACTTAACGCTTGATTTCTCATCTTTATTCTCTACATTAGGACCCCCATATCTGCAGTTCACCATGACCTTAAAAAAAAAAAAATAACCCTTAATTTTGCTCAATAATGGCATCAAAGTACAAAAGCAGTGATAGTGGAAGTTCTTCATAGGCTAATAGAAGCAGTGAAGTTTCCCCATCAGTGAAAGTGATAGTTCTCCACTTATTGTGCTTAATTTATCAATTAAATTTTATAATAGGTATGCATGACTTGTATGTAGGGTTTGCTTCTATCCGTGGCAGGTTCTCGTAACCTTTCACCTGCGAATATGGGGGTCCTCTGTATATTCATTGATCTTAAACATTGGATTTAGTGTAAAGGGATGGGACTTGAATGATATTCTGTATCCAATTATTATTTCTATTTCAATCATGCCAAATGTTCACTGAAAATCTGATTTCCACAAATGCCATATGATGTACACCCCCCCTTCATAAAAAAAAAAAAAAAAAATCTGGCCAATTTCCCTTTAGCATCGACTTACTGCTAAACATTTATTGAAAACTAACCCTGTTATTTTGCTAGTCATTCTGAATTCATTCTTAAATCTTATTTCCTCTCCCTATAAAAAATTTAGGTACTGGTACTTCATCAAATCAAACATTGTCAATTTTACTTGTATGGATTTAATTTAAAATAGGCTCATTGAATATTTGTTTCCTTGGGAATGTCTGTAGACACCCATTAAGAGAAATGTTTAAAAATGTTTGGTTTCCCATTGACTTTGTATGTTCTACCTTTAAGTAAATGTTTGCCAAAGAATGAGGGAAATGTGTACCACAAGATGTACAGTAGTGTCTTTGATATCAGCTAGGCCTGTATACCTTGTACATGTAGTGTACTTGAAGAAATAATTAAGATTGTCAGTACAGGTAGATTTAGAGCTGCATTTAATTTGCAAAATACCTGGAGTATATCTGGAGAGTTTTGGGGGTCAACACCCCTGTGACCCTGTCTGTAACCAGGCTGCGGGGTTCTGGTCACAGACCGTAAATGGGGCTCCCATAAGTTCAATCTTCAGGGCCCCCCAAAAAATGTATGTCTGCCATTGATCGTGTGGGGGAAGGGGGTGCGGCTGTCTACTACTGGGAACTCTTAAGATTGCTGGCTAAATGGAGCCAGTCATCATTTTTTTCATTAATCAGATTTCTTGAACCATTGGTAGTTAAGGAAAGGGAGGGGAAAAGTTTGCTGACCTAGGAATGGAGCATTTATATGTGGCCATCTTTAATATTCCAGCATTTAACTCCTGATACCCATAGCTCAATTGCATAGTAAATTCACTGACCAGTAGGTGAATGTGTCCCTCCCATCCCAACTCATTTTTTATAGCATTCTTAAAGGGTAACTAACTTTAGGTCTAAAGGTGCTAATTCTTACACTTGGTACTCTTAATATAGGGCCCACACTCGTGGCCCTTTGCCCTCCTTAAAATCTTTGACCCTCTATCCACTAAAATACTGAAAATCCATGCTGTTGGTGGGAATACTTGAAATGCTTTTAGATAATTACAGGCAGTTTTGATCATTTAGAGTATGTAATGTTTATAGTGAAAGGTGATTGGGATGTACTTACTGTACTTGGTACTTCAGTGACTGTGTAATGACTATTTTCAGTGTTCAGGGGACATCTTTGCCACAAATATTAATGGTCTAACACTGGATGGAATTGAAGACCAGTACTGGAGATATTCGACTGATCAGACCATCTATGTTGGCACTAATATTCGTCAAGCAGAATTCCGGTACCTAGTATTTTGGGACAAGTGCTGTTAATCCTTGTAGTATATTAGTTTAACCCTTCAACTGTCCAAACGTAGATCTGTTTTTTCAACATTTGAAAGTATGTAAAAAAACATTTTTCTTTCAAAATTTGAAACTTGTAAAAAAAAAAAAAAAAAAATTTTGATCTACGTTTTTTTTTTATTTGAAAATGCGTAAAAAAAAAAAAAGCGTAGATCTACTTTTGGAGCACTATACATGTGAACGTAAATCTGTTTGGACAGTTTAAGGGTTAAAGTTAAAGCTTCTAAATCATTCAGTAGCTGTAATTACAATATAGCTTATCCTAAATGTCAATGTTTTCTTCCCCAGCGGTCCAGTGACTGGCAGAAGTATTAATGGGAACCAAATATCAGACTACCTTCATGCATCAGGGCAACAATACATAACTGGAATCTACACATTCAAGGTTTGTAGCTTTATTTTTTTGGATGCAAATGGAAAATTTTCTGAATAGCGTAAGTTAGGTGGAAAAACTTGTGTGCAACACCCGAGTATTTTTGTGGAGCTTTTTTGATCTTAAGAGTGCAATAGAGGATGCAGAGACTAGTAGTCCCTCGGCCTTGGAAGATGTTCAGATAAGACTGATGCACTGAACTCCTCATTTTCAAGATTGACTAATAACCCAAAACAAATTTGGCTTCTATCATCTCCAGTATTGTGTTGCATTAATAAAGCCACTAGTTGAAGTCTCCACACTAGATACCCAAGTGTTGCCCAAGTCTTAAGCTACATGTTGATTTTGTAAAAAAAAATGCATAACTTCATTACTGAACTGTTGCAGGGACCAGTTCATGTTGAAGGTGACCTGGAAATGATAATGTCCAACACTGTGGATGGAATAGATGTGTCCGAACTTGACAGAAATGCTGTTAAACTCTATGGGGATCACACGGTAGAATCGCCAATTGTAAGTTCCCCTTTCCCATATTCCTAAGAATTTTGTGGATATGCAAGTGATCTTCACCTAGTGATGCAAGTTGTCACTAAGTAATTTTTTGGTTTACGAAGCATGTACAGTAGCAAATACAGTGGACCCCCTCTTTACGATCAGCTCCCAATGCGACCAATTATGCAAGTGTATTTATGTAAATGCGTTTGTATGTGTGTTTGGGGGTCTGAAATGGACTAATCTAATTCACAATATTCCTTATGGTAACAAATTCGTTCAGTAATGGCACCTGAACATACTTCTGGGATGAAATATCGTAAGCCGGGGGTCCACTGTATTTGGGAATCCTCTTCTATATCGCAATACAAACTAATTTTAGTTTTGGGATTGTGGAATTAGATATTGCAGTATTCATATTTAACATATAAACTGTGCCATGAGGTAAAGTGGCCTTCTGTATGCTGCTTAGGAATAAAAAATTACTTTCCTAATATTGCTTTAAAGACTTGCTATTGACTCTTCCTCTTTGCTGCATACGAATCAAAACTTAAAAAATTTGAATGTCTATAACCAAAAATTTTAAGTATGGCTTCAATGAATAATTCTAATGCTATAATTTCTGTAAAGAGGTGATAATCAGGGCTTTGAGAAAAATCTATTTATGGGACATGTATACCCCTCCCTCCCCAACCATTCCTAGGATGGCCCTAGCAACCTTTTCTTTGTGTAGTATACGTATAGTGTAGTTTACATAAAATTCATGTGCATTTTGGGTCCTTGCCCCTTCTACTTCCTCTAGTCCTTCCCCCCCCCTTCCTTTATATTCCCCTCCATTCTTGCAGGACATCCAAACTGTGTCGACAACACCATCTCTGCTCTCGAGTCTCCTTTGTGATCTCCCCCCCCCCCCAACTTCATAATTCTGTGCTGCAAATTCTCTGCATGATAATCAAAGCACATATTGCTCTTAAGTGTAACATCTTCCCTGCCTCCAAGAGATATTGTTGATTTGTATCGATGTGATGCTAAGAGTATAATGTAATGTCAGGCCTGTTGGAAAACATAGAACTTGAGGAACTGTTAATCGTTTATATTAACTGTTGTCAAAAATGCAATGTGATATTGTTGGCAGTAAACTAAGCCATTTTGCAAGATTCCACTGTTGCTTAAAGCATTTCCTTTTACCAATTTTTCAGTTTTTTTTAACCTAAATTTCCTTAAAATGTGTATACAGTACATGAATAGAAGGGTAATAATTTTTATTTTGCAGACTTTTGATGGCAGAATCAGGGTTGTTGGTGATTTGGTAATGCATGGTCTTCTCAATAGTCTGAATATAACTTCTGACCTGATGAGGCTGGATAGATCCATCCCTCACACTGGTAAGCTTAAAATTACTTTTGGTCACTACATACATGACTTGCCTTTCATACCACTAGGTTGCCTTGGGGCAGGTTTTAAGCAGCTGGCTTATCCTGGGTTAAGTGTCTAAAGTGTGGCTTAGGGTGACTGTAGACCTTTGTTCCTCTTCCTTTCCTTACATAATATCTATTTCTACAAGTACATGTACAAGGTATACAGGCCTATCTGACATAAATGACATACGTACTACCATAGTCATGTGTTATGCTGAGTATTTCGGGCAAATTAGGTCAGTTTTGTCCCAGGATGCAACCCACACCAGTCGACTAACATTTAGGTACCCATTTTACTAATGGGGAACATAGACAACTGGTGTAAAGAAACTCCCAATGTTTCTTCCCTCACCGGGAATTGAACCCGGACCCGCGCCGTGTGAAGCGAGAGCTTTAGCCACCAGGCCACAGGGTTATGTTGAGTACACAAAAGGTATCTACAGGCATACCTCGCTGTTAGGTTCCAGACTGTCACCATTCATATAAAAGCCTAAAAACTTGTTTACAATCTTTGTGCAATAGCACTAGGCCTAAAAATATGCAACAGTATAAAAAAAATTGCCAAACCATTTTAAAAGAAAGACAAGCCATGAAACAAATACATAATTGAAAAGTGCCATATTTCCAGGTTAACCCTTTGGCTGTTTTGGTCGTATATATACGTCTCATGAGCCACTGTTTTTGATGTATATATATACTTGTAAATTCTAGCGGCTTCAAATCGAGCAGAAGAATGCTGGTAGGCCCACATGTGAGAGAATGGGTCTGTGTGGTCAGTGTGCACCATATAAAAAAGTCCTGCAGTGCATAATGAGAATTTTTTTTTTTGTTAATTGCCAACTTTTTGGTCTATTTTCGTATAGTAATTATGGTTGTATTCTAGTTTCTTGGTCTCATTTGATAGAATGGAAAACATATAGAAATAGAGGTGATTTTGATTGGTTTTACTATGAAAAGAACCTTGAAATGGAGCTCAAAGTAGGGGAAATGTTTGATTTTTGCCGATGTTCAAAAGTAAACAAACTTCATTTTCCAATAAATGTCAAAGTAGCCATTCTAATCTGCAGTCATGAATGGGTTGACATTGTTTATACAATTACACTATTGCAGTAATCTGCATAACGGTAAATCTTCTCTTTTTTGGTTGAATAAAAATTCAAAATAGAAAGCAAGAGTAATATCAGAGGGGCCTGGAGATGTGACTGATGAACAGTTATTTTAGAGCCAGGAATGTCTGCATTGTTCATTCTGGACCCTATTTTGAAATTGTCATGCATTTTAATTTTTGTGAAATTGGCCAAATTGCAAATTTCTGACCACATTATTGGGTAGTTGAAATCTGTAAATGGGCAATTTCTTGTACTTGGTCGATAGAAAGAAAAAAAAAATGGAGTTCTAAAGAAATAGCTATGAGTTCGGTTGACTGGAGCAATGGAATTAGCTGATAATAGGGTTCAAAGTGGGTGAAATCGCCGATTCATAAGTATCGCCGAGGTCGCTAACTTCGTGAGAGCGTAATTCCGTCGGGTTTTCCATCAAATTTTGTTCTTGTGGTGTCATTACAATTGGGAAAGGATTCTCTATAATTTCACAAGAAATTTTCTTAATTTTGCGACGCCAGGAGACACCGCATGATTTGGGGTTGCGACAGTAGAGGGGTTAATGAGGTATGCCTGTACTTAGTGAACATGGCAATTAGTACGAGAAAACTTGGTATGCTTCTTCCAGACCCAGGATTGTTAAAATTACATGTATGCATCACCAATGAAGGGTATTTTATTCTCTTAAATGCTTCAAAAAAAAAAAAAAAAAAAAAAAGTGTACATGTTTCGCAGTTCTTAAGTGTCTAGTAATGTGTGCTTTTCAACCATAGCCTCTAAGATGCTTATTGCTAGTATGACCAATGCAGTCTAGCCAGGAAGACTTGCCAGCAGCTGGTAAGATTATAACCAACTTTGGCAACTTTTCTTGTTATATTAAACCCCTATCTTGACTGAACAAATTAGATAAGGTAGCCTTTTTTAACTAATGGAGTTTAAACATATTTCTCCAATGAATAATGCAAATATTGTTAATGATAAATTAAGATAGCTGGAAATTATTTGATGGCAGCAAATAAGTCTGAATTTAATAAAATAGTTCTGTAAATAGCTAGCTAATAATGATCATACTATGTATAGTAATTTGATAATATTAAGTGTAGTGGGATAAGGATTTGGCAGTATCAGTTTTCCTGAAACTAATTTGATATTTTAACAGAATTTATTTAAAAGTATTGGTGCACAAATTTGTCTCAATTTTCAGGTCATCTTGTGTTCCATAATACTGTTGTAGCAACAACCATCACATTATCTGGCAATTTGATAGTGAATACAATCAATGATTTGGATGTTGAATCAGCTGCCTCACAACTGGTGCTGGTTGGCCAGGAAGCTGTGATTAAAGGAGACCTTCAGTTCACAGGCTTTGTTGATGGTATGAACTAGAGTAAACTATTGTAATGTTAATTTTAAATGTGCTAATTCTTTAAAGTGGTAGTTTACATTCTCTATCCTTTTTTTTTTTTCTCTCTCTCCAGTTTATTCTTTAAATGCTGGTACTGTGGATGGAGTGAACCTTAATGACCTTGCTGAAAGGTCCCTCAAGAAGTCTTCCTCGGTAACACAAGTAGTTACTGGGCACATAACTGTGAAGAATGTTCACTTCAACCAGGCTCCTTCTCTTGGTCTAGTAAACCTGAAAGATTGGACTACACACCTTACAAATGTAAGCTATTTACCTGAACTATCATCCTTTGTCTTCAGTTTAAACCGTAGAGCTTTTAAAAAAGTAAAAGCAATTTACTTGAGTATAAAAGGTTTTTACTGTTCTCCTAAATTACCTGGCCAAAATGTATTGGAAACCACTTTTGAAGTGGGCAGTTAAGATTGGACTAAGAACATATACTAGATTATTAGATGTATACAGGTGCTCCTTGACTTGCAATGATTTGACTTAAAATATTTTGAATTTGCGATGGTGCTAAAGCAATTACTTTGGAGATGAAACTTGAATTACCCAGCATGAAGTTGTCAAGTCTAACTTGTATTCATTTATTTACTTTTCAGTACTGGTATTTAGTTTACAGTAATTGTTGACTTATTCAGTGACTAGTTATTTATTTAGCCTGGTTGACCAGGCCCTGATAAACAGCAAGGCCTGGTCATGGACTGGGCCACGGTAGCGTTGACTCCTGATGCACCCTCCAGGTATACCCCAGGCATTTTCAGCTTACAATAGGCTTGTCAGAACATTACCCAATCATAAGTCTAGCACCTTTGTGATTATAAAACATTGGAATTTAAGGAAATCTCTTTGCTGTTCTGCAGATAACTTTTAGTTCCTAACAGTTACGGCAAGTTTGATTCCATAGTTTCATAAACTGAACATAGAAAGGTACCAGAGTACAGTACATGATTCAGTGCTTAAGGTGGATAGTGTACCTTTGTGTTTATTGTAATAGTTCCAAAGCTTAAATTCCTACAGTCCTTAGGATTAATCTCCTTTGTATAGTGCTTCATACGTGTACAGTATATATTCTGTAGTAGTATTGTTAAATCTGTCAGTTCTTAATTTTGGCCAGTAAAGAATTTTTACCTGAAAAGCCATGTGAAACGAGGCTTTCCATAATGTGTGAAATCTCATTTTTGTTCTTTATAATAAATCCTGTACAAAATTGACTGAATTTTTTTTCTTAAATTTGACCAGCAGGTATTAGCTCATGGTGCTGCTCATTATTAGTGGTAGGATACGTATCGTTTTTTAGCAAGTTTTTTAAAAGAAATCTGAATTAGTTGAATAGCTTTAGAAAGCTTGGAGTAGTTGTTAGAATAAACTAGAAATTTCCTTCTTAAATAGCAATAATTCCACTTTATGCTGGAGAATGTTCTCTGCCATGTTTATACAAATTTTCCCCCTTTAGGGAATATAAAGTTTAACTTCTATTAAACCTGATTGACTTTTTCCTAGGTTCTATGTATGTAAGTATTGCTAAGTGTTTCTTTGGGGGAAGGGGGTGTAAATATCTGGATTCAGATGGTATTTAGCATCTTTCAACAAAAGTAGTTTAAAATTTTAATTAAGACTTCTTTCCAGGTGGTGACCTATGACTATGATGGTGCTATTCAAGGTACTAAGACTTTCCTCCAGCCACTGGATATAAAGGAAAATTTTGACCCTGCCACAATAAATGGCCTCAGTGTTGCAGACCTTGTTGCTCGTATCCTCACCAAGTCGACAGATCAGATGATCCTTGGCCATTATACTTTCAGCAATAGCATAAGTGCTGGCAAGTGAAATATCTAGTTTAAAGTTTTTTGGAATGTAATAATTTTTAACACCCTGTAATTCAGTCTCTCATCTCTGGAATTTTTTTTATAGCTGTGTAGTCCTTGCACTTAAAGAATTAAATATTTCAGTTGACGTGTCTGCCAGTATCATAGATGGCATTGCTATGAGTGATCTGGTGCTGACTGATGCTGATGCTTACATGAGTGGCACTGTAACATTCACACAGAATGTAACCTTCCTTGGTGGACTTAATAGTACCAGAGGCATTTTAGATGATTGTGATGTTTTGAAGGTGTGTTGAGTATCCAGTTTAGTGAAATTACTTATGAATACCTGAATTTTCTAGTGTTAAAAAGAGGTAGTTGATGGTTCTGGCAAATGACACTTTGGGTTATCATCGGTAATTTACACTGATAATTGTACTTGTGTATCTGTGCCTAAACACGCTTGTTACTATAAATTTAAGCTTTAAAGAAGGTAAAAAGTCCCTCATTTCCATTATTAAAGTTAATCTAAAAGCCTAGTACAGTATATGCTTAAACTGCATACCTCGCTCGTCTGCTTCAACCATTGTGAAAGTTTAAAAGCTTAAACCAAAATTAGTCTTCTTTCACAGGCCAATGAACGTGCTATTTGGAAACACGAGAATGGGAGCATGAGTTTCCAGTTGCCTGTGGAGGTTGGAATGCTACTAGTAGCAGGCAGTGCGACGGCCAGTAGAGAAATCCTTGGCGGTGCACTGAATATAGACATCGTGCATTTCCTCGATACCCTAGTCTTGAAGTCTTCACACCAGGAAATTACTGGTTAGCATTAAACTGAATTTTTATTTTAAATATAAAAAAAATATTAGGTTAAACCTTAAATTTGAATTTTTCAACAGGTCAAGTGGAATTTTTGCGTGATGTCGAAATTGGCAATCTTCATGTTGGGACCATTGATGGGATAGATATTGAGGAACTCTTCAGGTTGTCACTTCTTGACAATACTGAAACGGTAAGTTTTTTTTTTCTACAAAATTGTAAATTTATTTTAAATTTCTGTAAACTTCATGTTGTCCTTTTGGTTTTTTGTAGGTGATAAGGTGCAACTTGAACTTCACCAAGCCACTAATTGTAGGTGTTCTGCAAGTGACTGAAGCACTGTCTGGTATTGGTGGGAGTCAGGTGTTGGTTAATGGCATTAATGTGCCTGATGTTGCTGCAAGAGCAGTCCTTGCCACCGGTGGAACCTTCTTTATCGCTGGTCGCAAAATCTTTACCCGTGGTTTCAACACTGAGCACCTCTTCATTTCTGGTGAGGTTAATACTACTGGGGAGTTACGTTCTAGACAAGTTTTCTTGTAATGGATTAGTTTGTTGGATGATGCACATGTCTAGTTTAGAAAAGACTATTTCCTTAAGTTATTTAAGGTACTGTATTTTCATGCATTTTGCATTGGGAAGTGGCAACTAAAATGCTGGGAGGGAGGGGCTAGTAACCCCTTCTACTGTATGCATTACTAAATTTAAAAGGAAACTTTCCTTTTCCCTTTTGGGTCAACCTGCCTTGGTAGGATATGGCAGATTTGTTGAAAAAATGATTTTCCTGCATACAAGGCACAACCCCCCCCCTCCCTCCCCCACCTCCCCCCTCCCCCCACCCCTTTCCCTCAAGTCTTGAAAATTGCCTGGAGCCTTGTACACTGTCAGGGTCAAGGGTTGGCTTTAGGTTACACTCTAGTTTACTAGTGTTAAAATTGCTTGGAAACCTCATGTTTTCTCATATGTGATGTTTTTAAATTTGACTAATGTACAAGATGTTGGTAAAAAGATTTATTTTAATGAAATGACTAAATATGGAGTGCATACTGATGTTTGCACCTTATAACAAATTACCACAATTGCAGGCTCCCTGGGTGGGATAAACTTGCAAGATTTGGTGCCTATTTCAGCAACAGGAGTAATTGTTGGTAATGTAAAATTTACTGCCCCCATAAACATCATGGGAAACCTTATGGTAAGTTGCAGCAATTTTATCCTTTTCTTGGTTTTACCAAGTTGAAGATTTTTCCAGCTGTAATATTTGTTCCTGTTAAAGAACAAATAGGCACAATACCCTGATGAGCAATATACACACAACCTACACATAGTTGAGAAACCAACATCTTGGTCAGACTTGGATCATTTAAGTTGCTCTGTAAATGACTTGTAAATGGTTGTTGGATTGCAACATCATTGTAAGCTTCTCTGTGTGTGGGATATTTGTGTATTTGTTCCTATTGTAATAACTTCAAGCTGAAGCTTAAAAAAAAAAAAAAAAAAAAATGGATTTGCTTTTATGGATGGAGGTGGGGTTTTTTCCTTGTATCTGTCCTGTTCAGTAGTGTAAAACTACCTGCTGCTAGCGTGCATTCTGGGGATGTACAGACCAAAATTAAGAAGTGCACCGTTTAGATCTCTCTCATTACTAACCTTTGGGTAATCAAAGTGGTCTTTCTACCATATGGAATACTTTTCTGTAAATAATTCATAACTTGACTTCGTGTGTGGAATGAAATTGTTGAAATCGTGTAAACATTTCTATAGGTAATATTTTATCAAACCAGGAAGGCATACACTGATGGAAAAAGCATTCGTTGTACCCAAGATCTGTATGTAATTAAAACTTCAAATGTGCATTTTCTAACTTCTAATTTTTGGGGCGATGAATTTGAACTTGACATTGATAAACTTAAGCATTTTGCTTGCCATTCTTGCATGCTGGTTTAACCTTTATGAAGGTTATTTATGAAAATGTAATTAAAATAAAATTTATTGGATCATAGACCCAATCTTGTAAATTTAAAATTGCATAGTTGGACAAATCTTATTGTAGCAAACTGGCCCAGTGGCTTAATTGCTGCCCTGGAGTTTTAACTTATTTGCCACAAGTTCTAACCCCCCAGCCCATACTGTGGTTTGTTTGCAGTAGTGTTATTATAATTGTCAAAATTGCATAAATTCATTTGAAAAATTTCTATAGCTTAGCTGTATTAGGATGAACCTTTTTAAAACTAGGTCTAAAATTTAATTTACTGGGCATGGTTGTTTGTACTTGCAGTTTGGCTAGTATTAACCATACCTGGAATGAAAGGGTTGATAATATTCTACATGTATGAAATGCTAATTGTTAATATGTAAATATTACAGGTATCTGGCTTAATAGATGGTGTGGATCTGGCTTCAGTTTTTTCCAATAGGGTAACACTTGGTGAAAACCAGACCCTCTTTGGGTCTTGGCAATTTGAAGAGATTATAGTGGAAGGTAGGTAAAAGAAATTTTTCATTTTGGCAAGTATTGCATAGGGTGAGGGGTAGATAGGAATACTTGTGGGGCTGTTTAAGCTACATTATAGTACAAAGTCCCTCCAAGGTAGCATAAATTGAGAACACAGGGACTACTAAGCTTAGCCCAAAGCTGTGTCCAGCTTGGCTGCCATTAAATGGGAAATTTAAGAATAAAACTTGCTCCATATTAAATTATAAATATTTTAATTTCTTATTTATGACTAGGCTGTGGCCAGAAAATTCTATCAGTAATTACCCATGTACAAATGTTGCTTTTTAAAGGATTAAAGTTTAAATTATTAAAGATAATTAACCAAGCAATATTGTTAGTGAAATTAGCCAGGTGGCTAATTCAGTCTTGCCACCCAAATATTATTATCTGTTGCCATTTCTTATACTTAAAGTAGCAGTGATTTCCAGCGGTGTCCACTGGTGTAACTTGAAGTACAGTACACAGATTAAACATCACAAATAACTACAGTGGCTTGACTTTTACCAGGCCAAAAATAAGTTATGAACTTTGAAGTTTAGGAAACGGTTGCACATTGGGTTTGGAGCGTTACTCCATAATGCTCAACAGTGACCACTTTCCCTATTTCCTTTTAGGCGATTTGGAAGTGGAGCAGATCAATGATGTCCTCGTGTCTGATCTGGTGGTAAAGTATGGCATGATACTGCAAGAGATATCTGGCCACAAGATTATAACTGGTACCCTTAGTGTTCAGGGGGATGTACACACTTCCCGGCTAAATGGCTTAGACATTGTGCAGCTTAACTCAAGCATAGTGAGGAAGGACCATGATGCTATTATAACTGGAGTTTTGGTAAGAATTTGTATGACTAAGAAATGTTTAGGGTATATACAGCTATGGCTAGCAATCAGTATAGAAGGGGCTTAATAACTAAAGAATTTATCAAACTCTATACGTCAGTCCTTGCCAAATTAATCGGTTGAAGTGACTGTTCTAATATTCACTGAAATGAGAGATTTAATTAAAAGACCTGGAAGATGCTCAGATCCTGGGCACCACAGTCTGAACAGAACTAGCAATACTGTCCCAACTAAACCAAATGAACTGAAACTCCAGCCTATTGATACAGCTAACAAGATAAGACTTTTCAAATATAGGATCATATCTCTCCAGTAAAATTCCAGTTACCAATACCCGAGCTAATGATTATCTAGCTGGAAACTTCCCAACATCCCTCTTATCTTACACCAACAGAGCCCACTGGGGTAACCATGATTACTAACTTAAAACCAAGTGCCACCACTACTGTACAAACGAGCGGCTCAAGTCCTTTCGCCCATCATTGCCTTACTCTTTAACAAATCATTAGAAACCAACACTTTCCTGGCATCATTCAAAATAGCAAGGATTGCACCAATACACAAAGGTGATGACCAAACAAATGTAAACAGGTATAGGCCAATATCAAACTTTCCTTTACTTTCCAAAATCTTCGAAGCTTGTGCACGAAAGGTTATAATCCTTCATAATATCACAAAGCAACCTCAAGCCCTGCCAGTTTAGCTTCAGGAAAAACAAAAGCACAAATGATGCAATAAAAATGCTAGACCTAATTTACACAGCTCTTGGAAAAAAAAAAAAACTAATACCTGCTTGGACTCTATCAACCTTAAAAAAGCTTGATGGTGGACTGCAGCATCCTACTCAAGCTTGATCATTTATGGTATAAGAGGACGCACACGCACACGCACACATGCACACACACATACGTACGTCATGCTAATAGAAGGCAATAAGTCTATCAAAGACAACCTCAACAATACCCCTTGGCACTGGTGTACCACAGGGAAGCATTCTTGGCCCCCTCTTTTTCCTTTTATACACGACCTTCCTAGTGTCACAACTTACGCCTATTCTTTGTTGACAACATGACTTCTGTCATCTCCCACCCTAATGTAGCCTCGCTCAATACTACTGTTAATAAAGAGCTAGCCAAAATAGCTGGAGTTTACCTGGAGAGAGTACCAGGGGTCAACGCCCCCGCGGCCCGGTCTGTGACCAGGCCTCTTGGTGGATCAGAGCCTAATCAACCAGGCTGTTACTGCTGCTGCACATAATCCAACGTACGAGCCACAGCCCGGCTAGTCGGGTACCGACTCTAGGTGGTTGTCCAGTGCCTGCTTGAAGACAACCAGGGGTCTATTGGTAATCCCCCTTATGTATGCTGGGAGGCAATTGAACAGTCTTGGGGCTCCTGACACTTATTGTAATGTCTCTTAACATGTTAGTGACACCCCTGCTTTTCATTGGGGGGATGTTGCATCGCCTGCCGAGTGTTTTGCTTTCGTCGCGAGCGACTTTCATGTGCAAGTTCGGTACTTGTCCCTCTAGGATTTTCCAGGTGTATACAATCGTGTGTGTCTCCTGCCTGCATTCCAGGGAGTACAGGTTCAGGAACTTCAAGCGCTCCCAGTAATTGAGATGTTTTATCTCCGTTATGCGTGCTGTAAAGGTTCTCTGTACATTTTCTAGGTCGGCAATTTCACCTACTTTGAAAGGTGCTGTTAGTGTGCAGCAATATTCCAGCCTAGATAGAACAAGCGACCTGAAGTGTCATCATGGGCTTGGCCTCCCTAGTTTTGAAGGTTCTCATTATCCATCCTGTCATTTTTCTAGCAGATGTGATTGATACAATGTTATGGTTCTTGAAGGTGAGATCCTCTGACAGCCTAGATGACTTAATAAACTTACAATGAACATAGATAAAACCTTGACATTATGTTTGGGAGTAGAGCAAGTGAGGTCCAACTAAACATTATGCTTAACATTATTGCTAAACATAAGGGAAAATTCCTGGGTGTACATCTTAACAAACTGAAATTCAACACCCATAACAAAAGCATCTAAAACCATTGGCATCCTCTCAGATGTTACTATGTACCACAAACAGCTCTTGCACAGTACCATTCACTGATCTACCCCTATCTCAACTATGCTATTTGTGCCTGGGTTTCCAAAATAAATTGCCTAAAGCCAATAATAACCCAACAAAAAACTGCAGTGTGAATGATCACACAATCCACAGCTGGACAACCCCTCCCCCCCCCCACACACACACACACACACACACACACACAAAACCAACCTTTTCGAAGTTCTAAACCTACTCTATACAAAACATTCACTCGTACCACTGTGCTACCTACATTTACAAAACTATCAATTTGAATATAAATCCCGACCTGAAGCGCTTAAAGTTGTAATAGGTCCCATGGACACAATACTAGGCACAAAAATCTGACATTTCACGTCAGGCTAAATCTTTTCAAAAACTCTATATACATAAAAGGACCCTCAAATCTGGGACTCTGCCAGAAATCTCCAGAGCCACTGACTCGGCTAGCATTTTTAAAACTACAGCTAAAATGCCTTCTCTCCTTAACCTATCCTCGCCCATCATAAATAATGTAAAAACTGCATTTGCTCAATATCATGAACTTTGTTAAAAAATTATAATCAATATATACCTACCCTCAATGTTTGCAATCCTCTCAGATGTTAATCATTCCATTGTATCCACCGTATGTTTAATTAAACTAATTTTTCTCTACCAAACTTAGCCATATAGGCATCAATTTTCTTTTCTTTGTAACTTACCTAATGACCATAAGTACAATTACTGCACTGTTATTGCCTTGTTAATCTTAAGTTAGTCTTAAATTTGCCCAAAATGCTATGCATATGAAAGGGCTTTTGGTATGTACACCCAATTGTTATACTCCTTTCTACAAACGTATCATGCAGAAATAAAATTATTGATTGAGCAAGTTAATGGTGACTACTGCTTGACTGTTTTCAGACCTTTGAGCATGTGGTAAGAGCAAGAAAATCCATCTTTGTGCTTGGCACTGTTAATGGCTTTGACTTGTCATCACTGACTTACAACGTATCTCCATTGAAAAAGATAATTGATCAGCAGTTTGAACGTATAGATAGACTTCGCCAACTCCTGGCTAAAATCAAGATAGCAAACTTTACTCAGGGTAAGAAATTTGACATTATAAATTTTAACCATTTTCTTGCCTTTTCCTTTCAAAGGTGTATTGGTATCAGATTTGCCTACATTAAACTGTTTTCCCTTGAATTTCTCAATTTTCATGAGGCAGATGTACACAACACTTTTTCAGATTCAATTAACATTTTATTTAGTGTTCAACCAAGTATATTTATTAAAAGGCCTCAAATGGATGAGATTGCACGAGTGATAACCTCGTTTTAAGTGTCTGTCTCACGAGTTTTCCTGGAATCTCTAAATTTGCATTTTGATCTAAATTTTTTTTTGCTTACTGTCTTTCTTCATTTTAGAACAAAGATTTGAATTAGCCTATATAGAAAAAGTGGGCTCCCAGGAGATGCAACAATTTGGACATTTATGGTTTGGTGTAAACTACTACAATCTGGAGTCCTTCAACTACATTGGCATCACGAGTACATCTGGTCGCTGTGTCTGCTGCTCTCAAAAGACCACATTTTATCAGGTGTGTTGTTAACAGTAAAATGCGTTACAGGCAAGACATTGTATTAATTACCAGATCCTTATCTTGGCAAAATGCATTGTGAATTAGTTTTATCGAAGTTTGTTAGTTTTGGTTAATTTGTCAAATTATTTTCCTAGGAAAGATGCTCAATGCACATAACTAAACTGGGGGGCAAAGTTGTTCAAAGTAATCAGATTTTACTATTGGATTTATCCTCGACTCTGAATTGCAGGTGAATTCGGTGGTACGATAGATAGTACCCTGACTTCGGAAGTGCCTGGTGCTGTCTTTATCCTCTCTCACCCTGACCTGAATCTCCAGATAATGCTAAATAGGAGGTAACAATAGATCTTTAAGGTATTGAAAATGGCTAGGCAAATGGAAGTGTCATTTAGACTTTTTGTTAAGTCTTATAAAAATCCCTTGTTAAAAGTTGAATTTTCATTTTGATGTACAATAACCAAATAGTCGTCTTTGATATTCCAAAAATAGTATGGCATGGAAATTAAAATTTACAATGTAACTATGCATGATAATTTTAACTTTTTTACTGTATTATTTAGTAGGATTAGACAGTGCAGCTAATGCAACATTTCACTCTCGGTGGAAATAAATGGTATAAAATACACAATAGAAAAATAAACACAAGCGGTATATGATCCTTTATTAACATTTTGCCATAGTGGGCTCTGTGAAGTCTCAAACAGATCTACCTGCAATAAGGTATGCAAATATTTATAGGAGGGCATCAGGTGGAGAATGCTGGCTAGGTTGGATCTGAACCTGCATGTGACAATCTTCAGTAGTGTTATAGAGGCTAGGACCTTGGCTAGCTTTAAAAAGTGGGGTGGCCCAAAAGGAAAAACGGTAGTTTCTCCTTGTGAATTTAGTAATACGTATATACAAGAGAAGGGGTTACTAGCTCCTTGCTCCCAGCTCCTCTTACGACATGCATGGCTTATGGAGGAAGAATTCTGTTCCACTTCCCCATGGATATACAGATAAGTGTATCAAAACTTCAACCAAAAAAAACAGCTTCTATAACATAGCTGAACCCCTTGCCAATAAACTGTTATCCCACATAATGGAGGAACAATACAGAAGGTCTACTTGTATATTTATCAATCTCTTTAAAAATACCCAAGGTCCTCACCTCTATAACACTACTCTGAAGATTCACATGCAGGTTCAGATTCAACCTAGGCAGCCTTCTCCACCTAACTGCATCCTATAAATACAGTGGACCCTCGCCTAACGAACGCATCGCATAGCGTTAAATCCGCCTAGCAATACATTTTAACACAAAAATTTTGCCTCGGCTGGCGCTAAAAAACTCTCCCAATGCGATTCGTTCCATTTGAGACGCGTCCACGTGTGGCCTGAGCGTGCCTCGCTTGTCCCATGGGTGCCAGTGTTTACAAGCCAGCCACAGCGGTCGCATCCAAACATACAATTGGAACATTTCATATCGCAGCATTTTTAGTGATTGCACCTGCAAAATAAGTCGCTATGGGCCCCAAGAAAGCTTCTAGTGCCAACCCTGTGATAAAAAGGGTGAGAATTAGTTTGGAAATTAAGAAAGATTTTGAAGGGTTTGGGGCTAACCCTGAGACTCCTATGCCAGTTGTGGAATCCATTGTGCCTACTTCAAAGATTAAGGAAATGTGTGCAAAGTGGGTTGAACTGCAAACCTTTATGGATGAAAATCACCCTCACACAGTTATTGCAAGCTGTGCTGGTGATTATTACAATGACAATGTTATGACCCATTTTAGACAAATCTTAAAGGATTGGGAGGTACAGAGCTCTATGGACAGATGTGTTGTGCGACAGAGGTCCAGTGACTCGAGCTGGTCCTAGTGGCATTAAAAGAAGGGAAGTAACCCCGGAAAAGGACTTGACACCTCAAGCCTAATGGAAGGGGATTCCCCTTCTAAACATTAACACCATCCACACACTCTCCTCCTCCCATCCCATCAATCATCACTAGATCTTCAATAAAGGTAAGTGTCATGTAACTGTACATGTCTTCTTCAGTTTGTGTGTATTAAAATTTATTTCATGCGGTAAATTTTTTTTTTCATACTTTTGGGTGTCAGGAACGGATTAATTTGATTTCCATTATTTCTTGTGGGGAAAATTAATTCGGCTAACGATAATTTTGCCTAACGTTGAGCTCTCGGGAACGGATTAATATAGTTAGGTGAGGGTCCACTGTACTTGTGTACCTTTCATGCAGGTAGATCTGTTGACTTGATAAAGCCCACTGTGTGGGCAAAACATTGTCAATAATCACATTGTACTGCTGCCATGTTTTTTTTTTTCCATTTCACTCTCAAGGAGCTTTAAACCATTACCAGCTTGACCAAGCTCCTTTAGGGCAAACATTGCCAAAATGTCACATTATTTGCACTTTCCTTTATAAATAACTTGCTAATTAGTTTCTTTGACTTGCAGGTGCACTGAAGAAATTCCAACTACTGTGACTGTTGACAGTGCATCTGACCCTTCAGTGACCCTGTTTACAACAACTTTGCATCTTGGTGTAGTGATTGATGCAGGAATGTTTGTTGATGATAATCTTGCTTATATTGTAACGGTAACTGGACTTGATGCCGGTAAGATTTTCCAGTTCTGTAACAGGAGGATAAAACCTAAATGTCAAACAATAAGATACTAACTGTCCATCTGATTTGTACTTCATTTGTTCTAGTTAGACAAAAGAGTTGAAAATATTTGAATTGTTACGGTGAGGATGAAGGCAAAAATAATGTATACATTCAGATTGTTTAAATCCTGTACGTATTTATAAAGACTTTCTATAAAGTGGAGTACAGTATATTATAAAATTTGAGTGATAGATTTGTATATTTACTATATTATTATTATTATTATAATCAAGGGGAAGCTCTAAACCCGGAGGATTATACAGCGCCTGGGGGGGGGGGGGATGTGGAAGGCATTCAGGCTTAATTCGGGGAACTGGAGCACAGATCCAATTCCCTAAATCAAGAGCCCCTCACCAACATCAAGGAACCTTCCTTGAGGGGTCTATTATATTTACTACAACCAAGGAGGAAGTGCTAAACCCACAGGATTATACAGCGCCTGTGGGTGGGATGTGGAAAGTATTCAGGGAACTGGAGCAGATCCAATTCCCTAGATAAAGAGCCCCTCACCAGCATGAGGAACCTTCCTTGAGGGGAATGATTTGTATAAATTTTATAGGAAGCCCTGTATTATGCAAAACATTTTGGGTAACCTTAAAACTGGGATTATACCATACCACAATGTGTTGTGGTATAATAGATTGTTCAGAATGCTGAAGGTTAATGTAATGAAAAAGTAGAGGATTTAACAACTTGTTACATTTCACTTTCATATAATTTTAATTAAATTTGTGGTAAATGTACAGGCTGCAGACCTTGAAGGTTTGCCTTCATATCCCATGAATGGAAATAAGTCATGGAAATAGTCACTGACTTTTTAAGGTTATCCTATGTAATTTGTGCTGCTGCTTTGTATGATAATTCCTGTAACTGTATTTGCATGTGTACCTGAATGAACTTAATGTTGGGTAAGTTCTATTAATCTTCACAGGTTCTAACATTGCAGAAAGAAATATCATCCACACCTTGCTTGTTGACTTGGCACTGCAGAGAGTAGTCATTGTATGGGCTAAGGAAACAAACTACAGTGCATCAAAATTAGATTTAAATCTTGTAAGTAAAATAGTGAATATAACATTAAATGTAAAATCTTTTATTATAAATATTGTGCTTAAATCTATGGTACTTAAATGAGGCTCTTCCTGTAATTTTTAAAAATTTACAGAATTAATCATGACACTTAAACTTATGCAGTAAAGTTCTTATAAACCGTTGGTAGAGGTGCAGCAGTCACAGGCGGTGTCATCGCCTATGACTGCTGCACCTCTCCTACCAATGGTTTATAAGCTCCTTCTCCGCACGTATGCCGTATTCTATTCAGTAAAGTTCTTGAATAGTTTTACTTTATTACTAGATTTAACTGAATTGTATAGTGTATTGGTAACCATTTTTTTTATATTGGCAATATTTACATAAAAGCTTAATTTTGTGACTGCAAAAGATATTGAAAGTGAAAATGTGCAGTAGTGTACCAGCTAGACTAGGCTTTCATATTTTAAATGTAAATTGGTTTGTACCTCTAATGTAAATCTGGAAAAATGCTATTAAAGCTTAATTCTAAAAAGTCTTGTAAATTTTGTAAAAATAGGTTCACAAATTAGTAAAATAGATGAACTTATACCTAAAATTAATGTTTTCAGGTAAATGGAAACTGGTTCCTCTTGATAATAAATAAAATGAACATTAGGAAGAGTTTTGAACCATACACTGTTCCATCTCAGCTTTATATGTGGGAAAGTGCTGTGAAGAAGGTATGTTCAGTTTCTTTATTAAACTCCTTGGCTACAGCATTACCAGTTCTTATTGCTAAAAAAAAAAAGGTAAATGGTTGAACATTTTTGGAATATAAACTTGTGATAAAATGGCTAAATGGTCCAACAGTTCCGGCTGACTGGAGAGTATGTGGCTGATCATGCAAGCTCTGGAATATTCCTGAAGTCCCAACTCCATGGAGAAGACTTCTTTACTCTTGCTCAAGTGGAGACCAAGGATTGTCCACTCCATGAAGCTAACAGAAAATTTACTAACATATTGGTATGTATTAAACAAAATTGTGTTAATCCCAATTATAAGCATGGCATTTTAATAATTTTCACTAAATCAACAGGTCTTCAAATATGACAAGGACATGGAGAATTTTGTAGAGTTTGAGTGCCTACCAACATACAGCGTTGTGGACCAAGCTTCTCTGACCATAGACCATACTAATTACTTGGTGCTGCTCTCGGAACTTGGAGCTCTGCACGTTTATGCTTATCTACATCCGGAAGTAAGCACAATCTTTAAGTTTTAGAATTTTTTTTTTATGAATTTCTGTTGGTATGATGCAGTATATTGGTTATACATCTGGCCATCAATATTAAATAAATTTTTTCCACCTATGTATAATGTTTTTCTGCAAATGCCTCAATGTTCTCCCCCCATCCCCCTTAAATCTAGTTCACCTCCATCTCATTCACCACCTAAAATAGCCGATTGACATTTTTTTCATTAGGGTTCAAAATAAGATTAGCTAAATTTAATTTTTTCTTTGCAGGGTTTTAAGCTGTTCCAAGAAATCAAAATAAAGGCAGCCTATTCACTTGTCATTGTGGAGATCCCTGGTGGTCCTTTCATTGTTGTTTCCATCCGGTCTCCTCCAGGAATAGTAGTTCTGAGGGCACACGTGCAGGGTATTCAACCATTCAGATTACTAGATTAGCCTCAATGGCACTGTTTTTATAATAATGTACTAGCATAATAAACTTAAAATATTTTTTCTTACTTAATTTACCAATAGCTAAATTATAATTATGCTAAACCCACAAGGATCATACAACACTGCAGGGCACAAGGAATGCCTGCATAGTTTATTCTGAACCCTATTTTGAAATTGGAATACTTTGAACTGTGTGAAATAACCAATTTCCAATCACTGTTTTGTAGTTGAAATACAAGAGAATTTCTTGTGCTCAGTTGATAAAATGAGATGGCTAAGTATTTGGTTGACTGGAATGTAAATGGCCTAAAACGGGAGTCTGGGCAAAATTGCCGATGTGTAAACATTGCTAATGCAGCGTAATTTTGTCAAATTTTCATCAAATTTTGTACTTTGTTTTATTACTTTCAGAAAAAATCTACCATTTCATGAGAAAAAAACAAATTTTGAAAATTCTTGTCCCTGTGGACAAGTTTCAGATTGGGGGTCTGAACCCTGAAAGGGTCAAGTTTGACTTAGTCCTGTAGGTGGGAAATACAGTGCCGCCACTCTAAAGAAGGGGTTTTGGATATTTGCTGTTCAGTTATATCTAAAATGTTGTATGTGTGCCTCTGGCAGGACAGTGTGAATGACTCTAGATGGGAGACAGCAAGTGTTGAATTATCTTATAAGTACATGGTATACAGGCCTAGCTGACATGACACTACTAGAGGAGGGCCCCGCTTTATGGCGTTCCGCTAATACGGACATTTCAAATTATGACCAAAACTCGCTATACGGCTCCCCCCACCTAATACGGTCACAGCGGCCCACCGAGTTTGTTTACATTCTCCCTGAGCACATCTCCTTATGTCTGGAAACTTTCCAAAATTTCAAGTGTTTTAAAGTTATTTTATATTTTATATGTATTGTACTTGATAATTAAACTTGTGTACACCTGTACCTAAATAAACTTACTGTGCTGGCATGTAGGTACACATTAAAATCACTAAGTCTCTCTACTCTTGATGCAATAATAGTAATAATAATAATCTCTTGGGCGCATTAATGTCGCATATTACGTTAATATAGACATTTCCCTTAATCTCTTATATAATTTTGAAAAAAATATCATAAACATTATGTAACACAAACATGATACATGCACCCACAGTATAAAAAATTATACAAATATATACGAGATGTTTACCAAACGGTTTGTAGAAGTGTCGGAAGAATTACGTTTTCTCTAGCCCGTCACCTGTTACTAGGGATAACTGTAGAAAAATATTCCTTTCGTATGCCTTCACTTTATAGCTATAATTCTGTACTAACTTGTACACAGTGTAAGAGTATTTGTTTCGTGATTTAATTATTATTATAAAAATATTATAAGGTAAAAGTTTCACAAACTCTTACAAATGTACATGAATGAACTAAAACTGGACACGTATTAATACCGTCTATTTCGCCTGACCGAGTGATCGTCCACAACCTGTTCAGTTTGTTTACGCTGTCTGAGCTCGGTGTATCATTAAATGTTGTATATTACGTTAATATACACATTTTCATTAATCCATCCGTGATATTTTTTTTCAAAATTATATAATAAACACGATACATAACATAAATAAATAACACGTGTAGAGAACCTAGGATAACCCAAAAAAGTCAGTGACTTACTTCCATTGCCTTCACTCAGAGCATCATTTCTTCTCAAAATGATGTTACATCGAGAATGGGAGTGTTCTTTATTTATTCTACCGTATCAATGTAGAGACAACCTGTACACAATGTAACTTGTACACAAACCAGACGTGTACACTGTTTACAAAACTTACCTTCGCCTGGTTTGTTTACATAACTCTGCACCTGTCCTCTCTCATGCACTCATTCTTTCTCTCTGGTATGGTAGCCTGGCTGACTACCATACATACCACACTTGATATTTTACAATACTACTCATCTCGCCCTATATTTTAAGGTAAGTAATGAGTGAACTGTATATACATTTTATCGCTCTGGGATGCTTAAATATCATAGAATAGTATGTGTGGGTGGGGTAGCCTGGCTGACACCATACATACCACACTTGATTTCTTACAATAAATACTACTTGTCTCACCCTAGATTAAGACTATAAATATTTTAAGGTAAGTAATGAGTGCACTGTGTGTATTGTACTTTTTTTTATTGTTTTTTGATGCCTGGTTCTATTGCTAACATAATATGTTAGTGTAAACTTATCTAGTGTTTGTATGCATTTGTAAGTGGAAAAAAAAGGGTGTTCCACTTTACGGCGGTAGCCTGGAACCTAACCCGCCGTATAAGTGGGGCCCTCCTGTATATAGAAAACCCCTTATGCAGAGCATTTTGGGTAGTTGTGCCCAGGATGTAACCTACACCAGTAACCACAGACCTTCAGTGTGTGTGCAGTGAGAGCTTTGCCTACCAATCCACCCAAAAGAATATATACAGTGGACCCCCGGTTAACGATATTTTTTCACTCCAGAAGTATGTTCAGGTGCCAGTACTGAACCGAATTTGTTCCCATAAGGAATATTGTGAAGTAGATTAGTCCATTTCAGACCCCCAAACATGCACGTACAAATGCACTTGCATAAATACACTTACATAATTGGTCGCATTCGGAGGTGATCGTTATGCGGGGGTCCACTGTATTAGAATGTGGGGGGCCGAAGTTTGTGGCTATAGGAGGGTGGGTGCAGAAGGAAAGGAGTGATTAGTGAAATGAAGTAAAGGGTATGTTAAGAGGTAGCTTCCGAGAGGTTTTTACAAAATAGAAATGTTCCGAGTAGAGTATATGGAGAGTAAAACAAAAAGGTGAAGTGGCGAGTGCAAGAGGAGACATGATAGTGGGAGAGGCACTGTCAAGAAATTTTGCAGACAATAATAAATTTTTGGAATGAGTTATCCTAGGAACAGATTGATTTCTATTAAAAACAGTAGGGGAGTTAGTAGATGGGGAGCTGGAGGTATTGGGAATATTTCGAGGAAGTTTTAAATATCGAAGAAAGGGAGGTGGTAATTTCATGCACTGGCCAGGGAGGTATCTCATGTTTTAGGAGTGAAGAAGAGCAGGATGTGAGTGTGGGGGAGGCATGTGAGGCATTATATATAATAAGAGGGGGTAAAGCAGCTGGAACAGACTGGATCATGACAGAAATGTTAAAAGCAGGGGATAGTGTTGGAGTTGTTGGTATTTTTAATAAATGTATTAGAGGGGAAGGTACTTCAGGATTGGCAGAGCATGTATAGATTCTTTATATAAAGGGAAGGGACAAGAGAAAGTGTACAGTAGGGTTGTTATTGTAAGAATTAGAGGTAAGAGAGTAGGTTTGCAGATTAGGGAGGAGGGGCTAGTGGGTAGGGGATGTGTAGATCATGTTTACATTAAAGCATTTATGTGAACAGTATTTAGATAAAGGTAGGAAAGTTTTCATTGCATTTATAGATTAGAAAAGGCATATGAGTGGATACCTGGAGAGAGTTCCGGGGGTCAATGCCCCCACAGCCCAGTCTGTGACCAGGCCTCCTGGTGGATCACAGCCTGATCAACTGGGCTGTTACTGCTGGCTGCACGCAATCCAACGTACGAGCCACAGCCCGGCTGGTCAGGTACCGACTTTAGGCGCTTGTCCAGTGTCCTGCTTGAAGACAGTCAGGGGTCTATTGGTAGTCCCCCTTATGTATGCTGGGAGGCAGTTGAACAGTCTTGGGACCCCTGACACTTATTGTATTCTCTCTTAACATGCTAGTGACACCCCTACTTTTCATTGGAGGGATGTTGCAGTGTCTTTTGCTTTCATAGTGAGATTTTCGTGTGCAAGTTCGGTACTAGTCCTAGGATTTTCCAGGTGTATATAATCGTGTATCTCCCGCCTGCGTTCCATGGAGTACAGGTTCAGGAACTTCAAGCTCTCCCAATAATTGAGGTGTTTTATCTGTTATGCGCGCCGTGAAGGTTCTCTGTACATTTTCTAGGTCAGCAATTTCACCTGCCTTCAAAGGTGCTGTTAGTGTGCAGCAATATTCCAGCCTAGATAGAACAAGCAACCTGAAGTGTCATCATGGGCTTGGCATCCCTAGTTTTGAAGGTTCTCATTATCCATCCTGTCATTTTTCTAGCAGATGCAACTGATACAATGTTATGGTTCTTGAAGGCGAGATCCTCAGACATGACCACTCCCAGGTCTTTGACGTTGGTTTTTCACTATTTTGTGGCCGGAATTTTTGTACTCTGATGAAGTTTTAATTTCCCCATGTTTACCATATCGGAGTAATTGAAATTTTTCATCAATTAACTTCATATTGTTTTCTGCAGCCCATTGAAAGATTTGGTTGATGTCCGCCTGGAGCCTTGCAGTGTAAGACAGTCGTGCAGATTTGGGCGACATCCTTGTGGAACATTTTTTCACCGTAGCAGCCTCAGACTTTACTCTGTTGACTACTATTTGTGTTCTGTTTGAGAAAATTATAGATCCATCTACCTATTCCTTTATCACGCATTTTGTGCACTATTACTCCATGGTCACACTTGTTGAAGGCTTTTGCAAAGTCTGTATATATTACATCTGCATTCTTTGTCTTCTAGTGCATCTAGGACCTTGTCATAGTGATCCAGTAGTTGGAACAGACAGGAGCGACTTGCTCTAAACCCATGTTGCCATGGGTTGTGTAATTGATGGGTATCTAGATGGGTGGCAATCTTGCTTCCTAGGACCCTTTCAAAGATTTTTATGATATGGGATGTTAGTGCTATCGGTCTGTAGTTCTTTGCTATTGCTGTACTGCCCCCCTTTGTGGAGTGGGGCTATGTCTGTTGTTTTTAGTAACTGTGGGATGACCCGTGTCCATGCTCCCTCTCCATAGGATGGTAAAAGCTCGTGACAGGGGCTTCTTGCAGTTCTGATGAACATGGAGTTCCACGAGTATGACCCTGGGGCAGAATGCATGGGCATGTCATTTATTGCCTGTTTGAAGTCATTTGGCATCAGGATAACATCAGGTAAGCTTGTGTTTACCAAATTTTGTGGCTCTCGTAAAAAATTCATTTTG